TGATAAATAATCTGTCAATGATCTAGGAAATATTTGCTACCAGTTCTGAGCTAAAAATAGTGGGTCATGAGTGTGCAACCAGTGGAACTGTGGATTTTTGAAATTAGTTCACCAACATTCCTTCTGATCTGTGTTTAAGTAAATATAAAATAGGAACTTATATACATTTCGCCCACAAATATACAGTCAATTCACTTTACAGTCTATTCTGTGAAACGCTTTGAGACGTCTAGAAGACGTGAAAAGCGCTATATCAAATGCAAGGATTATTATTATTATTATTAGACAGACTAGAGATTCTAGGCCACTGATCTATTCCCAAATAGGAGAGCAACAACAACAGCAACTTGGATTTGTATAGCGCCCTCCACACCGGACGGCGTCTCAGCATAAATGATATACTGTAATTCTGACAGCACGACATAGACCCAAAATGCACAATACAGTAATAAATATCTTACTTTAATTTACCAGACTCACATGTTGTGCATTTTTCAACCCATGTGATGAAATACAGGTCTGGGTTTACAATTACACAATATGACAAATGCAGACGTACACATTTGACTACATGTCATTCTGTCCACAATTGAAATAACAATGTAGTACAAATTTGACTTAATGCAAATTCTGGTTTGGACCGGATACAATACAGTACATTGTCATTTTAGATCTAAATAATAGTAGACGTTTGAAGGTAAAATTCAAAAGCTACCTAAAAATATGTCCACTGTGTTTGACTATGTCTGTGAGACAAGTGATCATTCAATTTTTCATTGTTTCAGCAAGTCCAGTTTACAGTGTTGTTGGAAAGGATCAGAATAATAATCATTGGAAGCAAACAACAACAAAAATTAACACTTATCCTAGCAGAGAATTATGGCCAGAATCTTTGAAGCAAAAAGCATGAATGTATTTAAGAGAAACCTTGATACACAAACGAAGGAGAAGGGAATAGAGGGATATCAGGCTGCCCAACCAACCGTGCCAGTATTTATACTGGTTTGGACATGAGCACCACCCCTCTTATTCCCCTCTCCTATGCCGCTCTAACATCCTACTCTGCCACCAGGTTTGAACCATTGAAACCAGGTGTAGTATAGCATCCTTTATCTATATCCCTTATCCTTTGTCTTTCTCCTCCTCTGTCTGTCCCCTTGCAGGCTGCTTGGTGTTGTTTCCCAGGTTGGGCAACCTGGCCAACAACACAACGAGTGGCCCACCTACTCTTTCCTCTCTGTGCTGCCTCTAACCCCCGCAGTCTCCATGTCTGTGGCAGACTATGCCCCACTAATTGCCTGCCTCAAGTCTCAGAGTGCACATCTTGGCTGCAACCCCTGACCTGAGCTGCCCCCAAAATACCCCCATCCCTGCAACTTTCCTGCTCTGTACTCCTCTCTCCCGTCCTCCTCGCCTCTTATCTCCACCTGACCATCCCACAGCTTCTCTATGCTCCAGCCGGGGAATCCTCAGTCGGGCTCACTGTGGCACTCGACGTTGGCTGTCCAGCAGCAGCCACACTGACTGCACCATTCCCCACTATCACCACAAGCCCTGCCGGACCCAGATGCTGGGGGCCAACATCTCCTCCATCATCCTCATTCCCACCCTCCCTGCTAAAACCCTCCATCAAACCTCCCCGTCTCACACATTCCCCTGTGTGCAGGAAGGGACATTGATGGTTACCCAATCATTATTCTTGGATGTACACTCCACCTCACTGAGCCAGTGAACCATGGCATCTTGTTTGACTTTCAACTGTCTTTTAAACCGCACATCCATGTCATGATCCGCTCTGCCTTCCCCTACCTCCGCAGCACTGCCTCTCAGTAATTTCTTTCTGTTAGTTTAATGTTCATCGGTTTCACTCTTAATGTTTCATTTCTCGCTTCTGCCAGTCTCTCTCCTGTATGTCACTGTCTCTCTTTCTCTCTGTATTTGACATTCTTTCGCCCTTTCCCCCTATGAGCCATTGACCCTTGCCCAATTTCTCTGTGAATGTACATCACATGACCATGAAAATGGTCATTTTCAATCTACGACTGTTTGTGGGACATTGCTGTGCGCAATTGGCTGCCGCGTTCGCCCACAAATATACAGTCAATTCACTTTACAGTATATTCTGTGAAGCGCTTTGGGACGTCCTCCCGACGTGAAAAGCGCTATATCAAATGCAAGGATTATTATTATTATTATTATCTATCTCTCTGTCTCTGAATGTATCTCTCTCTCACTCTTTGTTCCACTAACTCTCTTTCAGTCCTTCTGTGCATGTCCCCCTCTTCTCTCTCTGTATATTTTATATCATCTCTCTCTGGATACCTATATGTGCCACTGACTTTTTTTCTGTCACTCCTTTCGTATACGCTACTTTCTCTTTTTATAAATCTGCCCATCACTAACCCCGTCACTCCCTGTCTCATCTGTGTTATCTGCTTTCCCCCACCTCTACAACATTGTCCACCTTTCCCCTCAGGCTGCCGAGACTATCAGATTATTCAGAATTCTGCAGCTCGTGTCCTCCCCCGCACTAAGATCAGTGAGCTGATCACCCCCATCCTCGCCCGGCTTTACTGACTCCCCATCCCCCAGAGGATTGAGTTTAAAATCCTTGTCCTCACCTTTAAAGCCTTCCACGGTATCGCTCCTCCCTATCTCTGCAACCTGCTCCAAGTCCCCCGCCCTGCTTTGCACAATCGGAGATCGGGCCTTTAGCATATATGCACTCACCCTCTGGAACTCCATCCCGGAGCCCCTCCATTGTTGTTGTTGTTGTTGTTGCTGTTGTTGTTAAGGGTTAAATTGCTGCATCATTTGAGTTACTAAGACAAACGTTTAATATAAAAAATGTTAACAATTTTTTTATAGTGCCTTATATGCTGAAACAACATAAAGTGCTTGAGAATTTTTGTCTTTTTTTTAGACAAACATGGCAGTAATTTACACCAGGAAAAACAGGCTCGAGTGGTATCACTGATTCACTTGTCACTGATTCACTTGACAGGACACTTGGTGAAACTCCCTTCTCTTTTCAATAGTGCAATAAGATCTCCAATAGAACAGTTTCCACAGTTTGACATCTCATTCTAAAGACAGCACCTCCAGCTATCAGTCCTCCCTAGTACTATACTGAGTATCAGCCTAGATTACAAGCTTAGTTGGCAGTGCATTGTTCATTCATTGTTCAAATGAACAAATATTTCATTTTTCAAGTACATTAAGAAATGAGATATGAAGAAGCTTCTAGTAAAGTAAGTATAACAAATTAAGCGACTATGGAAATAAGGAATGTTGACAAAACCATAGTCAAAATGATACATTTTAGGAGGATTTTGAAGGCAAGGAACAGAAGTAGTCCTGGAACGAGGTGTCACGTCCCAGCTCCGCTTTCTCTCTCCCCATTCCCTCTTTGAACCTCTCCAATCCGGCTTCCGCGCTGCCCACAGCACGGAAACAGCCCTGGTCAAAGTCACTAATGACATTCTGAACATCTGTGCTCAGGGCTCCCTCTGCCTCCTTGTCCTCCTCGACCTCTCTGCTGCCTTCGACACTGTCAACTATTCCATCCTCATACACCGCCTCTCCTCTTTACTCAATCTTCACAGACCTGCCCTTGCCTGGTTCGATTCCTATCTCTCTCACTGTCTCCACTTTGTTGCCTCTAACAGTTTCTCCTCCAGCCCCCGCACTGTCACATCTGGGGTCAACTTCCACATGTATGTGGATGACACCCAACTCTATCTTTCTACCTCCACCCTCAACTCCAGGACCACTGCTGTCCTGACAGACTGCCTGTCTGACATCAAGTCCTGGATCAGGGCAAATTTCCTACAGTTGAATGTGAACAAGACTGAGGCCCTCCAGATTGGCTTGCGCCAGTGCCTCAGCACCTCAGGCTCTGGCAGCATCAACCTCCATGGTTGCACACGACAGCTCACCAAGCCAGTCAGGAACCTTGGTGTCTTGTTCAACCCTCAACTGTCTTTTCTCCCCCACATTCAAGCCATGACCCGCTCTGCCTTCCCTCACCTCCATAACATCGCCCGACTCTGCCACTACCTCACCCCTCAGGCCGCTGAAACTCTTGTTCATGCCTTCATCACATCCAGGCTTGCCAATGAAACCCCCTGCTTGTCGGCCTTCCCAACTCCTCCCTCCACAGACTGCAGATAATCCAGAACTCTGCAGCCCGTGTCCTCTCCCGCACCAAACTCCGTGACCCCATCTCCCCCACTCTCGCCCGACTCCATTGGCTCCCTATCCTTCAGAGGATCCAGTTCAAGATCCTGGTCCTCACTTACAAAGCCCTCCATGGCCTCGCCCCACCCTACCTCTGTAACTTCCTAACCTCCTAAACCCTTACCAACCCGCCCACTCCCTCCGCTCAGCGCCCTCTGTCCTGCTCCACGTCCCCTGACCCACCCGCCCCACCATTGGTGAGAGAGCCTTCAGCCATTCTGCCCCCAACCTCTGGAATTCCATCCCCCAATCACTCCGCCTCGTCCCCTCCTTAGCCTCCTTCAAGTCCCGCCTCAAGACCCTCCGCTTCGACCATCAGCCAGCCCCCTCCCCTCCCTTTCCGCCCCCCCCAACCCCAGCTCGGGTCTGAAATACTGTACACTGTCCAGCGCCTTGGGACGTCCTCCCGACGTGAAAGACACTATACAAACGTAATCTCGTTGTTGTAGTGAATTATGTCCACAATGACAATGATTGTGCGTAAATATCACTCCCGGCTCACTGTCACTCATATATTTGAAATTCCCGCCCTCTCTCTGCGCCGGCGCTGTGAGCCGCGCTCCAGCCCCAATGAGAAGCCAACAACTGGAGGAGCCGAACTGGTGGGGCCTCACTGCGCATGCTCGCTGCGGCACAGCAGGAGAGAGCGAGAGAGAGAGCGCGTGCGCGGTGGGGGGGGGGAGGAGCACCGCCCACGTGATTAGCCCCGGGCTGAGGGCTCGTGCAGGGTCCGGGGGGGCGGAGCCACCGGGGACAGAGTCAGTACTGATGCTCGAGCGTTGCGCCTGCGCACTGTGTGTGAGCAGAGTCGGGGGGGACGATGGTGCTCGACTCCATCGCCAGGATCATTAAAGTGCAGCTGCCGGCCTACCTCCGCGGCCTCCCCGTCCCCGAGACGCTGGGCGGCTTTATCCGGCTGACAGGTCAGACTGCACGGCACAGGCCGGGCCGGGCTCTCGGGGCGGGAGAGGGAGCGAGGGAGGGAGCCGGGGAGGGCGGCCTGTGGGAGGAGGCGGGCGGGCGGGCTTCAGGCCCCGCGCTTGGGTCGGGAGGCTGCCGAGCTGCGGGCCCTGTGGCTGGAGCTGTGCCGCAGCCCTCACTGGACTGTCGGTCCTCGCGCGGTCACTCCGGCCTGTGCTGGAGCTGTGTTCACTGGGGCTCTCTCTGCTCTCTGCAGCCCAGTGCCGTTTGCATGGTTTTGCCCACAACACGTACAATCCATTCACTTCACAGTTTATTCTGTGAAGGGCTTTGAGTTGTCCAGAAGGTGGGATCAGGAGCCTTATCAAATGCAAGGATTATTGTCAATACTATAATCTCAGGAATGTCAGGTCCATTGCTCGGGGCTCCTCTGCACACACTTTGAGTGAACAAAGTGAAACTTATTTTTTTGTAAACGCCCGGAATCATCTATATTACTCCCATCTTAATTTCTTTCAAATCAGGAAATATAATTGTGTGGGTCTGTCTGTGGGAAGTGATGTGGAGAATTGACTGCAATCGGTTGTCAGGGTGAAGCTTCAGAGCAGAATTGTGTCCTTATACAAACTCGAAAATGATCTTGACGAGAAGAATTGGACAGGATCCTTTTGCTTAGAACTTGTGACATGTCTTGCGCTTCCAATATGCCTGGGTTATAGTTTTTCCTTGCAGCCACTTTTGGCCTTATAACAATTAAGAAGCTCGCCATGTCTGTGCTTGAACAAGGCAACGTTTACGTGATCAGCGTTGTCACAAATCTGTCCAGTTCCCATTTGAAATCGCCGAGAAATCCAGAGTTCATTGGTGAGAATTTTCAATTTCTGGAGTGACCCAGTAGCGGTTATGGTGTTGCTTTGATACTGACTGAAGACACTAATTAAAAAAAAATACATTGTTGCAATCTTACAGAAAATTTCATTAAGCAACTTTATTTTAAAGTAATTTGATGTGTACCTGGCTGAACAAACCAGTTCAAAGTAGGGAATTTACTATAAATACAAATGTGACTGCAGTGTATAAAGGCTTCACAAGTGTATTCCAGGGCACTTCTGATGACAGCACAGCCATCCTGGCTCATCGGTAGGACCTAGAAGGGCAGACCAGTCACTGGGGGCAGGGAGCCCCAACAGGTAGGGTGGTCCTAGCTGGACAAGCAGCAGGAAAGTTTGCCGCCCATCAATATCAATAGCAAGCAATGCAGTTTTAGCTGGTTAGACTCCAGCAGTACCCCAAAGCACATTCTGGGGTCCTCAAGTCTTGGCTCTTGCCAACCTGTGCCAAATACGTTCTGAAATCAGGTAAGCAGGATGCGTCCCTCCAGGGAGAGAGTGTGCATTCCATTCCAACCATCTAACTCTGGGATTTCCATGTGCAGGTGGGATGCACGAACTCGCACTTTGGTTTGGATACTCTTAAGCATGGTGATGGGTTTCCGCATGTGTCAGACACTCAGCTGACCNAAAAAGATCTGTTTCATTCCTCGCTTTCTGCCATTGACGCGCACCCAATTTCTTAGTGAATGTATGTATGTCTATCTCTCTGTCTCTTTCTCTTTTCATGCCACCAACTCTTTCAGTCCTTCTGTGATGTCCCCCTCATCTCTCTCTTTGTTATTCTCTGTATCTCTCTCAGTATAAGACTATAAGACATAGGAGAGGAGAAGGCCATTAGAGCCCTCGAGCCTGCCCTGCCATTTAATAAAATCATGGCTGATCTTCTAACTTAATTCCATTTACCAGCCCTATCCCCATATCCCTTAATCCCTCTATCCTTCAAAAATCTATCAATCTCAGATATTCCATCCATTCACTACCCTCTGAGTGAAGAAATGTTTCCTCAACTCAGTTTGAAAAGGCTGACCCTTAATCTTGAGCCTATGACTTCTAGTTTTAGATTCTCCAACCAGGGGAAACAGTCTCACGGCATCTACCTGGTCAAGACCCTTAACAATCTTATAGGTTTATATCACATCACCTCTAATTCTTCTATATTCTAGAGAATATAATAATAAAAAAAAATAGGCCTAGTTTATTCAACCTATCCTCATAGGTCAACCCCCTCATCCCAGGAACCAACCTAGTGAATCTACGCTGCACCCCCTCTAAGGCGAGTATTTCCTTTCTTAAATAAGGAGACCACAACTGCACACAATATTTTGGAATGTTGTACACTGTGCAGTGCCTTGGGACATCCTCCTGACATGAAAGGCACTATACAAATGTAATCTTGTTGTTGTAGGTGTGGTCTCACCAAGGCCTTATACAACTGGAGCAAGACTTCCCTACTCTTGCATTCTAACCCTGTTGCAACGAACGCCCACATGGCATTAGCCTTCCTAGTTGGTTGCTGTACCTGCATGTTAACTTTTGTTACTGGTGTACAAGGACATCCAAATTCCTCTGAACACTAATAATACCTAGTCTCTCCCCCTCTAGAAAATAATCCGCTTTTCTATTTTTACTACCTCGGTGAATAACTTCCCCACGTTATACTCCATCTGCCACCTTCTTGCCCACTCGCCTAGCCTGTCTATTTACCTTTGCATTCTTTGTGTGTCTACCTCACAGTTTACTCTCCCACCTGTCTTCGTATCATCTGCAAATTTAGATATGTTAAGTTCGATTTCCTCATCTAAATCATTGATCTAGACAGTAAATAATTGAGGCCCAAGCACTGATCCTTGTGGCACTCCACTACTCACATCCTGGCAATCTGAGAAGGACCCGTTTATCCCTACTCTCTCTTTTCTTCCTGTTAGCCACTCTCCAATTCATGCTAACATATTACCCTTAATTCCATGGGCTCTAATCTTATGCAACAGCCTTTTATGTGGCACCTTGTAGAATGTCTTCTGAAAATCCAAATACACCACATCTACTGTTACATCCTCAATAAAGATTTGTTAAACATGATTTCCCTTTTGTACAGCCATGTTGACTCTGCCTAATCGTGTTATGATTTTCTAAGTACCCCACGACGACATCTCTAATTAATCTGATGTGATGTGTCTGATGTGCTACTGACTTTTTTTCTATCACTCTTTCTGTATGTGTCATTTCCTCTTAAAATAAATGTGCCCATCGCTAACCCCTTCCTTGTCTTGGTCAGTCCCTTATCAGGCTGCTGTGTTGCTGAGGGAGGCAGGGAGGGGAGTTGAATCAACGGCTCGCTCAGGGAGAAGTTTCTGTACAGCACCTGTGCCATGTTATCTGTTGTCTTTACGAGGCAAGATTTAGCATTGTGGGATCCTTGGGATTTGGGACATTAAGATTCAGAAAGAGCACTGGGATTGCAACCACTTGTGTTGAGCTTGTAGAATGTGCTAAAACAACAGTAGGGGTTCTACAATTGGCCTCAGTGCAAGAGATGACTGGAGTTCCTGCTCCTCATCACTATCCAGTGACACCTGCAGCAAAGTGCAAATTAAGTGCTTCATGAAAATGAGGAATGGTCATGTGGCAAGATACCAGAGGGCTTCTGGCACCTATGGAACTGTGCCCTAGAATAAGGGAGGTAAGCAAGTTCCTATTAAATACAAATTAGCATTTACTTTCTTTATTTTAATTCTTATTTAAATGCATGTAATGTTGGCACTAATTGGAATGGGATTTTGCAGTTAGTTTTTCTAGCTTCAGGCAATTTATTTTCATGGGGGGTGGGTGGGGGTGCGAAGCGAAGCAGGGGCTCTTTGGAACTGAACTGGCACATTCCATTCCAAACATGAGAATTTCTGTCTTTAGGTGGCATGCAGGATCTCGGTCTGGTTTGGATACTGCAATATAGTGATGGGTTTCCTCGTGTATTAGACATCCATCTGGTTGACCAAAAAAAAATTCAAATGGAAATAAATTCTATCTTTCTAAATTGCACTTTAAGGTCTTGACCTGTCCTCATCACTCTTCCCTGAACTCTTTCCTTTAGAGATAATGATGTGTTTTTTCAGTCATTTTATCTAGAAGTGACCTCACCAGTGATCTGCATGATGTCTGAACAACATTTTGACTTGTTGCCCAGATGCATCCCAGTACTTGACAACCCTAGTTAACTAATGGGCTCAGAGTGATGTTATGAATTCTTTATGTAATCTCTCTCCATCACTGTGGCTTTCAGTCCATCTGAAGCAATACCTGCAGCCATTAGGTTTTTCTTTTCTAATATGAAATTATACTTTTTATTAAATCCTGTGAAGCTCAAGATTGCTCTTGTCTAAGTAGATTTTGGAAACTTTGCAACCGAGCCTAAACTTTGCAACTGTGAAAATATCAGTGATTGTTTGTAATCTGAAAACTATTTTTGATTATAAACCTTTCAGGAGCATTTTATGTAGCTGTGAAAAAGTTTTCAAAGAAATGAGAGTATTTTGTTTCTAGCTGATTCTGCAGTGCAAAGACTTGTTTGGTCAAGCAACCATACTTTATATTTATATAATCTAATGCCTTTCACTTCAGGAGGATATCCCCAAACACTTCCCACAACTGATTGGGGAGCCTGAGCTGGGGGAGCAAAGGAGGGGAAAGGGCTGAAAGCATGGTCAAAAAGAGGCTTAAGTGGGGGTGGCAGGGGCAGGGAAGAGACATAATGGTTGAGGTACATGATGTTGTGGAGGTGAGGGAAAGCAGCGTAGTGAACCCAGACGTAAGGTTTGAAAGGCAGTTAGGGATTGAACAAGATAGGTTTTTCTTAACAAAGACACTGATTCCGCACCAGCTCAGAGGTGAAATGAGCACCTGTGCAGATCAATACGGAAGTACTGATGGGAGCCAAGCAGGAGAGCCTCTATCTTATTGACATTGAGCTGTGGAAAATAAGAACTGATCTAGAATTTGATGGCTGATTTGAGTTGGTTAGAACTGCAATGGTCCTGGAATCAAGGGTAGAGACAAGAGAGATAGATTTGGGTGTCATCCACATACCCTTGCCCCCAGATGATATTGAGTAGGAGAATATAGATAGTGAAGCAAGGACTGAATAGAAATTCCTAAGGAACATCATGTGTGACTATGGGATAGGAAGAGAAGGATTTGGAGGTGAGAAAGTGAAGACATTGGGATAGGTAAGAGTGAAGCTAGGAAAGGACAGAGCTGTGGAGGTAAAGAAGGGAGGAGAGGTGATGCAGCAGTCAACAGTAATGATGGCAGCAGAGAGAGCCCTGGTGGAGAGAATGTCATTGGTGATTTTAACCAGGGCAAGGGCAGTCTCATTGGCATGGGAGGATCAGACGCTGGTTTGGAGAGACTCAACAACAACTTGCATTTATATGCTGTCCTTCAAGTGGGGTGTATCCTGGAATGCAATTGGAGAGACTCGTAGTGTGAGGGGAAGGAGGAAGCAGGAGATGGAGAACATGTATGGGTCCAATGAGGGTTCTTTGAGAAAGGGGTAATGCTACAAGGAGATAATAATAATACTTGCATTTGATATAGGGCCTTATTATGTCTGTCTCAAAGCGCTTCACAGAATATACTGTAAAGTGAATTGACTGTATATTTTGCGGGTGAAACGTAGTAGTCAATTGTGCACAGCAATGTCCAACAATCAGCCATGGATTGAAATGACCAATTTATTATTTTTTTTGAAGGAATTATTACCCCCGGAAAAGCGATCTGGGTTGCTACTTACTGCTAGGTTGACAGAGACATGTGGACTAAGGAAACTTGCCCAACATTTCTCCTTGCCGGAAATCAAACCCAGGTCTCTTGCTTGCGAGGCGAGTGCTCTAACCACTAAGCTACAGGACTCCACAGTACTTCTTTACAGGTACTGTGAAAGGTTGATGATGTCACCTAGCAAGGGAGCGAGGAGATGAAGCTGGACGGACAGGAACAGTGTGAGAATAAAATCAAGAGAACAGATGATGGGTTTCATCCAAGAGGTGAAGGGGAGACTGAATCAAAGTTGGAATAATCCTTGCGTTTGATATAACTCTTCATGTTGGGAGGATGTCTCAAATCTCTTCACAGGATTTACTGTAAAGTACAGTGACTGTATTTGTTGGCGAATGTGGCAGCCCATTTGTGCACAACAATGTCCCACAAACAGCCATGAAGTCAGTGACCAATTTTATTTGGGAGGCTGATGACCAGCGCAACGGAAGAAACTCCCTTTTTTCAAATAATGCCACAGGATCTGTAATTTTCCTGTGAACGGGCAGACAGGACCTCAGTTTAACATTTCATCAAAAGGACAGTCGGTACCTCTGAGAATGCAGAGCACCCCCAGCACTGCATTAGAGTGTCAGTCTAAAGTATATGAGTTGAAAGCCCCGGGTTTGAACCCTCAACCTTCTGAAGTTGTGGAATGAGGTCTGACTAGGCTTGGGGAGGGTTCTGGTGGAGGTAACTGAGCTTGATTTTTGCCTTTAGAAGTCTCATCATGGACACCAAGCAGTTCATTATTAATGTATCTTCACTTACACCAAGCAATTTTGAGCTTCATACAGAAGTTTGCTACGTTAAAGATATTGAGACTGCACCCAGTCACATTGTAAATTTCAAGAAGACTTTAATTAGAACAGGGATATATCTTACTTTGGTTAATAAAGATGCATTAAATTTAAATAAATCGTGGCTTATTTTAAAAAAAAGTGTTGCAGGGCCTTGAGCAAAACAGTTTAAAATTCAAATTCTGTTATCTCACGGCTGGCCTAGCAATTAAACAACGTTGCTGTTCTGGGAAGATCTTGGCTAGGTCCTATTATAGGCAGAACCCGCACTAAAAACTTGATGGTGTTTTGTGTATGCAAAATTTTGCTCCGAAATGTGTAGCCTTTTTTCAAATGGATTGCTGGTGTAATGACGTAGAGTATTTATTCAGAATATCAAGGTTTTTTTTTAACATGGAAGATAATGCCATTTTAATTTGTGATTTTGGTGAGGTCTTATCTAGTTTCAACAGAATTTTCTTTCTTTTTCTTAGCAATTTCTATTCCAATATTCTTGTAGTAATATGTTGTGAGAAACATTCTGATTGAAACTTTCTTGTATTGCTTAGCTTTGAACTGCTGTTTACTGCTCCATTACCAGAAGTGAGCATTTTTCTTTGTTTTCCTGCCAACATCCATAATTCTTTTGGGACTTTCCAAAATTGGATCTCTTTTCATCCAGTTCAGTACTCGAGATGAAGCATTTTGCGATGTCCAACTGCACAAAGATAAAACAAGAATGTTAATACTGTGCTTGTTTAATCTGAGGGACTGTTGTTTACTGCTCGTTTTACCCAGTGATACTCAAAAATGTGTGTGTATGGACAGCAGATTGATCAGATTTGCAATCTACTGCCCCCTCCTCCCCATCAAGTAGCTCTATTTGATATCTAAGCACTGGAGGATAATTAGCATCTGTGAAACCATTTCTTAATGTAAGACAGTGCCTTCAAGAAAGAGAAAACTTTAATGCTTTTTGAAAACTAGGGCTCTTGAATAGATTTGTCTGAGTGATGAACTTGTAGAGGTATATGAGATACTAAATAGGATTGAGCTAGTAAACCCAGAACATTACTTTTAGATATGTAAAGGGCAGGATAAGAGGACATAAGGTTCATGCTTGTGAAGGGCAATTTTAGAATAAAGCAGTGAAGTATTTCTTTATCCAAAGGGTAATTAACAGCTGGAAGTTTGGATGCTGTAGTTGTTTNAAAAAAAGTTTGATTCTGCAATGAAAAAATTGTAGAATATAATAGAATATAATCTAAAAGGAGGTCAAATGAGCAGAAGGCCTTTGTCCATATTTCTTGCGATCTTGTTTTTTTTACTTATCTGACTATAAAAGTACTGTATATGCAGAGGGAGCATATAGATATAGAAGGGGACCAAGGACAGAGCCCTGAGGAACGCCGCACGAGACTGTGCGGGGGCTAGAGGAGAAGCCATTTGTGGAGATGAAGTGGAGGCGGTGTGAGAGGTACGATCTGAACCAGTCAAGGACAAAGCCGTGAAGGTCGAGGTAAGAGGAGAGGCGGTGGATGAAGATAGAGTAGTCGACGGTGTTGAAGGCAGCAGAGAGGACGAGGAGGCACAGGGAGCCCTGGTCACAGATGGACAGAATTTCATTTGTCACTTTGGCCGGGGCTGTTTCTGTGCTGCGGGCGGCACAGAAACCTGATTGGAGGGGTAAAACATAGTAAGCAGACATGCCTGCTTCTTAATTCTTCTATTTTATCACTGTTTCTAATTAAATCTTCTTCTGTGGTCTACAGTTGTAGAATGGTTACGATTACTGCCTTTTCTTGGAGTTCTTGCATTGCTTGGATACCTAGCAATTCGGCCCTTCATTCATCGAAAGAAACAACAGAAAGACAGCTTGATTAATCTAAAAATTCAGAAGGAAAATCCCAAAGTGGTAAATGAAATAAACATTGAAGATCTGCATCTCACCAAAGCAGCCTACTGCAGGTGTTGGCGCTCAAAAACGGTATGTCATTGGAGGGATTTGGGGGTAGATTGCAGGAGGTTGCATTTTATTATGATTAATAAAAATCCTTGGATTTCATATAGTGCAATTCTGGAGGACATTCTGGAGTGCTTCATAGGATATGCTGTCAAGTGTAATGATTATTTTGTAGGCAAACGTTTAAAACTTCTGTAGATTAATATCTCCCTAGTTTCCCACAGCGGATTAACATATTGTGTGATGAAGTTCAAACTAGTTCAATGAGTAGCAAGCCTACATACCTTATCTTGTTCTTTAGAAATGTGGTTTATCGTTCAAAATCAAGTGTTTAAGAACATTTTTTAAAATGATTTTCCATTTCATGTATGAACTGAGATATCACGTCAGTAGATGGTTTCAAGTGGGGAATATGACAGCTAAGCCCAATCAAATACTTTATTTAATTTACAGTTCTTTAGGTAGCAACTGATTAATGTTAATGCTGGATACATTTTTCTTTTTACTCCTTCCTCATAGCACTAACTAGGACCTTTTTGGTCTGTGTGATTATGAGATCCAGTTTTGTGTTTATTATGTTCACTGATTTGCAGACATTCATTACTGGGGATAATACAGTAGCAGATTACCATTTTATGGGGTATGAGAGGTGGAGAGGGCATTAGGAGAGATAGTGGCTCACTTGGAGTAAAACATACTGGCATGGACTAGTGTAGTTGGGCTAAATGGCCTGTTTTGGTGCTATACAGCATGTAATTGTCATAAATTAGGAAGGTCTCTCCCCAAAATAAAAAGCAACATGGAAATTGTATTTCCCTCAAAAAGGAAGGCATTCTCCCTATCTGCCCCCAATTTTGTCCCATTAAGGCTCACAAAGTTTGCCAGTGGGATTATAGATATAGTGATTTTTTTAAAAAATACTCACCCTGTAGAGTGCACTTGCCAGATCTTGGGTAAGCCTAATTTGATGTGACCATTTAACCTCTTCAGCTCCCTCACTGTTTAGGATATTTACAGACTTAAAGCATGTAATTTTGAAAGTGCTAAAAATGTGATGCGTTATCTTCTGGTGTTGCAATTATCACGGTTTCTATTGAATTTCATTATTCATGCGATTAAGGAGTTTTTATTTAAATCAAATGCTTCCAAATTATTGGTCCAGTGCCCGGTGATAGTAAGATAATGCAAAACTGGCAAAGTACTGCAGACGCTGGAAATCTGGTGTAAACACAGAAGTCGCTGAAAACACGCAGTAGGTCAGGTAGCATCCAAGGAGCGGTGCAGTATAAATGTGGTTGTGCAGTATACTAGTGTTCCCTGTTACGACTATAGAGCCATGGAAATGGCAGCACAGAATAAGGCCATTTGGCCCATTGTATCAAGTATTATCACAAATTGTGGAATATCTGGTTCTACATTTAAGCATGAACTATCCTAACCTTTTCTAGAATTTGACTGACTGCCATATTTGTTTTCTTTTATAGTTTCCTGTTTGTGATGGGTCACATAACAAACACAATGAGCTGACTGGCGACAATGTGGGTCCACTGATAATCAGGAAGAAAGAAGTATAACTTATTTTATTAGGCTTTTCTTTAATTCATGACCTAAACTGTTCAATTTGTGATGTATCTAAAATTTGTATACAGTAATTGTAAACTTACAGATTAATAATAATAATAATCTTTGCATTTGATATAGCGCTTTTCACGTCTGGACAAAGCGCTTCTCAGAACACACTGTAAAGTGAATTGACTGTATATTTGTGGGCGAACGCGGCAGCCAATTGCGCACAGCAATGTCCCACAAACACCCGTAGATTGAAAATGACCAATTTATTATTGTTTTTTTGTTTTGGAGGGATTATTATTAGGCGTGTGGAGCAAGGAAACTTGCCCAAAGTTTCGCCCTCTGCCTGGAATTGAACTCTGGTCTCTCGCTTGCAAAGCGAGTGCTCTAACCACTGAGCTACAGTACTCCACTAATTATGTGCCTTTACAGTTTGTATAGTTAAAATTGTAAAGCTGTTAGGCATTACTGGAATTAAATCTAGTGTAATTTGCCAAGATGTATAGAAAAGTCTAAATTTGTTTGAATTGTCTTATCACGATTATAAAAATAAATCTAAGCTATCTGTGACCTATTCCTGGTGCTTGTACTTTCTTACTGAGTGACTTCTGAAATTGACTTTTTTTGAACACAGCATCTCTGACTCGGTTTAGTCTCATCTGAGATACAGTATACTAGAACCAGTGATTAATTACTATGTAACTGAAATTATTTCGCTTGCTGCTAAAGTAGCATGTATACAAATGTCACATGTAACATAACTAATTCTCTCCATGTACATGTCATACTTTCATCAAACAATGTGGGTTTATCCACAAAATAGGATTTGCATTTTGGCAGCAGTGAAAAGGCACAACATGCTACCCCAATAGTTTGCAATCATTGCTGCTTCCTCTGCCCCAACCAGCTTAGCATAATTAAAGATTAGAAGTGAAAGATTTGTTGAATGGCAGCAAATATGTACACAGCGACTTTAGTTCAGTTTCAGTGAAGGATACCATTGTAATATGTCTTTGCACTTGCTAAGATTTTGATCAATTGACCAACATGAAGCCTGCTTGCCTTTCTGCCCCCACTCTTTGGAACTCCATTCCACAATTCTCTGCCTTGAACCACCCTCCCTGCCTCGACAATACCAACCCCCATCTCGGGTCTAAATCCCTTACTGTCCTGTGCCTTGGGACATCCTCCTGATGTGAAAGGCACTGTACAAATGTAATTTTGTTTTTTTTTGTTAGCAGAAGACATTTTACCATCAAAATGAGGCAAACTTGAAGGATTTTAATAAGCACCAATTATTATTCTACTGAAATGTAATAATTGTTACAAACCTACCCAAGTTTTATTTTATTGATGATCTGTGACATTTAAGTACATAAAAGCCATCTAAAGTTCAAAAATAAATATACAAGCATATTATTGCATTTAGTGCAATTCACTCAGCCATGTACATTTTACTACATTTTTCTCTTTGACCGTGTTTTCAGCTCCCCTCTCGACTCTCTACCCCCTCCTCGCTCCCTCCCTTCCCTCACCATTTCCCCCCTGCTCGGGTCCTGACCCAACTGTACAGCACCTTGGGACGTCCTCCCGACGTGAAAGGGAGGAATGGAATCTTGTTGTTGTACAGGGAGTTATTTACATGTTTTCCAAATGTGATATTGCAAACACGGCAGCCAATTGTGCACAGCAGTGTCCCACAAACAGTCGTGCATTGAAGTGACCAATTAATTATTGTTTTTTCTGTTATATTAAAAATACCTACCAACTGTTGGGTAGGTATTTTGAATATACAATCCAGCATTGTATTTTTACTGAGGTTCATTGATGTTTGTAAAAATAGTTATTTGATGCCCAATGTTAAAAACAAATTTACCTCTGTTTATGTTGGTGGGTTTATCTCTGTCTCAGTTTGCTTTTCAACTTAGTGGGCAAGTTCATTTACTCTAATACAAGTTGTAATCAAACTGAGAATTTTTTTCATGGGGCAATTTATAATACACACATATGCTGGTTTATTTAGCTTGATACAAACCACACTACTTGACAATCTATGAAAGGTGTACATTAAACTCAAACTGTAAACTACCACCACCAACTGCACAGAATCGTGTGCCCGAACCATTCACTGTTTATCATAGTGCATTACTGCTAGCAGTGACCCACTGCAGACTCTTCAGTTACAGCATAAATAAAGTTTCAAGCCTAGAACTGCAGTTGTCAATGGTTAATAGATGATCATGTTCTGCTGCCAGATTCACACCTCTATACTTGAATAGAAAGTTCCACTTGCCTGTGTTTGCAAATCTCTCCATGGCCTTGCCTCTTACCACCCACCCTGCCATTGGTAGATGAGTTTACAGCCATCCTGCTCGCTGGAACTCTATCCCAGAGTCCCCTCCCCGCCATCTGCCTTCACATCTTTTCAACTCTGCTTTTGTTCACCTCACCCACCCCCCTCCCTCTCCTCCACTGCCCCTTTCTTCAGCTGGCCCCATTCCCAGCTAGTTCTCCCAGTCAGCTGTATGTGAATCGCTTTCAGTTATGCTGCCACTGAAAGGAACTCTATAAATGTAAAATTGTTGCCTTAATCATTATCACCAGTAAAGGCCAATGGAAGTCAGAAAATGTGTGTGACTCTAGGATTGTAATATTTCCTCAGGATGATGTTGCAGCACCTCAGATAGATTGAACTGCAGGTATACCAGTGTACATTGATTCAACATCAGTACAAATTATTTAATATAACAGTACAATTAATTACTTAATATTAATCAGTTTTACATGATAACACAATCTAGAGTATACTAAAAGACTGGTTGAGAAGACATTCCAAGAGTAAAAGTGAAAGTTGTATTTAAATACAAGCAGATTCTCTCCAGGAGGCTGAATAATGTGGTCTTGTTCATCACTGGTATATATTGATACAGCTATTGCTGAATGTGTAGTCCTTCCCTGAGCAAGAAGGGTAGCTCCATACACTACTCACTAGAAGACCATGAAGAATCTCAGGTGATTAGCTGGACAGTCAATGTTATTGAGGTCCTGATCATAACAATCTAGTGTGCATGCCTGGTTTTATATAAAACTCCATTTCCACTTTTCACAAAATGTCTCCTTTTAAAAACGTTTTATAGTAATAACTTGTCACAAACTAGGTAGTATTTTTTACTAAGTAAATGGGAAATTACTTTTTTTTTAAAAGAGATTCCAAACTGATTATTGATGACAAAGAAATAAAATTGTACTACACCTTTAATAATGATCGAGTTCACACAGATTTTTACCAAGTTTAGATTTTTTTATCTATACAAGATAAACATTTAAACAAAAGTATCACCAGCTCTGTTTGACCCACAACCTAATTGGCCTACGTTGTGTAGAATTCCTTTCCCACATCTGTTTACATATACTATACAATATGCATTAATTTTGCTCATCAATTTTCTCCCCCCTCTTTAGAAGGCAGACATTGCCTTCTATCCAGTACCCCTACCAAATGGTCATTGACAGGTGTAAACCTTGGTAATGAGTTTTGCCAGGCTATTTAATAACATAAGATTTGCTAAGCGAAAGGAGACCAAGGTCCATCTTGTTCATAGGAACAGGAGTAGGTCCTTCAGCCCTTTGAGCCTGTATTGTCATTTAATTAGATCATGGCTGATCTGTACCTCAACTAATCCTTTCAATTCCAATTTCCCGCTTTCTCCCCGTATGCATTAATACCCTGACCTACCAAAAATCAGTTCACCTTCCACCATCCTGGCAGTCACTTGACATGTCGTGTCCCAGACTACACTGTATCCTAAGATATTATTTTCTAGCAGAAATCTATCTAATTTGTTCTTGAAGCAAATTACATTTTCTGCTTCCACTGTCTGCCTAGGGAACCTGTTCCATAAGTTTACTACTCTCACTGAAATAGTGTTTCCGCAGATTTGTTCTGAATTTACCCCCTTTCAGTCGTAGGCAGGTTCCTCTGGTTCTACTGTTCAGCGCAAGGTAAAACAGCTTGTCATGGTCTACATTATCTATTCCCTTCTGAATCTTTAAAGGCCGTAATCATATCGCCCCTAAACTTTCTCTTCTCCAGTGTAAACTTGCCCAGTTTATGTAATCACTCCTTGTAGTCCAGTCCCTCCATCCCCTCAATAATTTTGGTTGCCCTCCTATGTATCCTCTCAATCGCTGCAATATCCTTTTTATATTGCAGTGACCAGAACTGCAACACAATGAAACCATGAAAGGGAAGGATTAAAAAAGTCAGGATTTCTGTTGCTGATCACAAGCTGTTCAGTGACTCCTGGAAAGTGCAACATCTGACACTGTTGGCTCTCATTCCATGATGCATGAGACGTCCTCCTGACGTGAAAGGCGCTATACAAATGTAATCTTGTTCTTTTTGTTGTAGCCATGGCTTAATGACACTTGCTGTTGAAAGACCACGTAGGGGAGGCTTCTAAGATCAGTCAACACTCATGGAGGAAGAGAGAAAAGGAGTCATGAACAAAATAACACTGGTGTCACTTAACTGCCCAAAGGTGTAAGGAAGGAAGAAAAGAAAAATCTCTCTTGAGGAAAGGAAGTCTGAATAAAGAGCAACTTACCAAAGGCCTCTGATGACATTCAAGTGGCTGGTTGATACAGTAAATAAGCAGGGCAACTGATTGTCACAGAAAATAATTCTGAAGGTTAATTGTAAACATATCATATAAACATTTTAAAAATTAGAAATACTTCATAGATCTGTGAATAAATAACAGTTCCACTATTCAAAACATATATTTATGTAAATATGAGGGTTTAAAAAAATCTCCATCATGTACAATCAATAAAAAAGCACATATTTAAAAAAACCATTCATTGTCTATTCATAGAATTATTTTTCTAAGGAATTGTTGAAATATATTGAAGCGATGCTTTGGTGAATATTCAAACTGCATCTTCCAATTCTTGACTATTTTCATCCAGTGGTATATCTTGGTATTCGTCTGTACCTATAGAACATATAAACCAAGGCTTTGAAACTCAATATCATTTAATAATTATCTGGTGAGGAGCTTAATTTACCAAAAGGTTTAAGTCTTACCTGCTTCTCGGTTATTTGGTGCCATTTGATTTGATTTTTGTAGTAATCTTGGTCCTGCCAAGCTAATAATAACTGCTCCCACTGGAGCAGTCAAGAGGATCGAAAGAAAGGCCACAGTGAGAACAGTCATACCAAACTCTTCTGAAATCATGTCGTTTCGTACTCGTGCTGTGTCCAAAGCTGTGGATCCAATGGCAGCCTATCCAAGCACCACAAAAAAAGGTTAATGTCAGCACCCCCAACAACGCAGTGAGCCCTCAGCAGTTCATCAGATTGCCAGCCTAGACTATGAGTTAAAATTCCCAACATAGAGCTTGAAAGTCATGTAAAAGTGTAACACAAGTAACCAAAAATGATTGATATTTACAGATTTCTAAACATTATCCTCACACTAGTTTCAAGTGAGTCTCTCATGATTGTAGTCACTGAGGCAAATCCTTTCTTTAGCAAGCTTCTTGGAGGAGATTCATTACACAGTAAGATATCAATGCTTAAGTCAAATTGGCAGAGGACACAAGTCAGATGGACTATGGAATCAGGAGGCAACAAAGGTCCTACAAAGAGGTCTTGATAGAGTATTGCATGGGCTGATAATTTGCAAATGAAGTTTAATACTGATAAACACAAAGTACCACATATAGGATCCAAGAATAGGAAACAGATGTACTCCATGGATGGGACTGAACTTGCCAAGGGGAAGCTGAAAGAGATCTACATCTAGATGGGTAAGTTGACTCGTCACTTACTATGTCAAAAAAAGGTGTATGGCAGCAATGAACAAGGCAAACAGGATGCTGGGCTAGATTACTAAATCAGTTGAATTTAGAGTTGAGACATCATTCTCAAGATGTACACAGCTCTGGTCAGACCACACCTTGAATACTGCATATGAGCATAAGAGCACCAGACCCTAGAGATGGTGCAGAGGACAGCTATGAGGATGATTCCCAGTATTAAAGGAATGAGCTATGAGCTGGGCCAATAGAAAAGTGCGGACATTTTAAAAGCGAAGCGCTTTACAACTCTTGCGGGATACTGTGTCGAGTTTTGCTAAATTTTGCGGGAAAATTGTGAAGGGGCACGCACACTCAAAGACACAGGGAGACACAAACACACTCAGAGGCACACGCACAGAGACAGAGAGAAACACAAACAGACAGAGACACACGCACACTCAGAAATACAGAGAGACACAAACACTCACAGACACAGAGAGTGACACGCACACTCAGCGACATAGAGAGACAGACAGACACAGACACAGAGAGAGACACACACAGACACATTTTCAGAGAGAGAGACACACACTCAGACACAAAGAGACATACACACACTGAGACACTCATAAATACATGCACAAATAAAAGAGGCACGGACACACACAGGCAATCCCAACAGTGGGGCCTCCGAGTGTAGCCCATTTGCCGCTTGCGCTGCACTCCGCATGCGTGCAGGAGCCACCCCACCCACACTGACGTCAGGTAAACAGTGCGAGCGGCCCACGGGCCAGAAACTACATTGATGACGGGTATGTTGCGGAAAAGGTGTGCCCGCAGTTTTCTATTGGCCCAAACTAATAGCAACGGTGAGTCAAGCCGGACCTCTTCAGCCTTGAGAGATGACGACTCAGAGGGGATCTCATAGAGGTGTATAACATCTTAAATGGGACTGAAAAAGTAAATCCAGATTAATACTTTAGGATGCAACAAAACAGAAGAACAAGAGGACAACAACAACAAAATTACAACTGTAAAGCCCCTTTCACGTCGGGAGGACATCCCAAGGCGCTGAACAGTCGGAGATCAGGACCCAAGTGTGAGAGGTCAGGGTTGGGATGAGGGACGGCAGAGAGGTAGGAGGGCGGCTGAAGGTACGGTTGAAAAGCAGGGTCTTGAGTTGTGCCTTGAAGGAGGCAAGGGAGGGAGCAAGGTGAAGGGATTGTGGGATGGAGTTCCAGAGTGGGGGGGGCAGAGAGGGTGAAAGCCTGGCCGCCGAAGGAAGGGCGGGTCGGGCGGGAGACCTGGAGCAGGCCGAAGCCTGTTGAGTGGAGGGAGCGGACAGGTTGATAGGAAGTCAGCAGGTTAGAGATGTAGGACGGGGCGGGGCCGTGCAAGTCTTGAAAGTGAGGACGAGGATTTTGAATTCTATCCTCTGATGGATGGGGAGCCAGTGGAACTGGGCGAGGGTGGTTGTGAGGACATGAGCTGCAGAATTCTGGATGTTCTGCTGCTTGTGGAGGGAAGAGTTGGGAAGGCCAACAAGGAGGACTTAAGAGTTGGAAAGAGCAATTTCAGGACGGATATCAGAAGTGTTTCTTTACTCAGTGGGTAAGCAACAATTGGACCAGTTTGCTAGTAAAGGTGATGTGAGACCAGGATATTAGACTCAAGCTGTGTCTTCTCCTACACCAAACTCTGTGAGCCTATCACCCCCATCCTCGCCCAACTCCACTGGCTCCCTATCCCTCAGAGGAGAGAGTTCCAAATCCTAGTCCTTGCTTTCAAAGCCCTCCACAGCCTTGCTCTTCCCTATCTCTGGGGACCTACTAACCTTGTACCAACCTTTCCATTCCCACCGCTCAGCAAACTCTGGCTTGCTCCATATCACCCTCTCTGCCTGCCCACCATCGGCGGTCAGACCTTCAGGCTTTCTGTCCCCATTACTTTTGAAACAACATCCCACGCCTTGCACCCTCCCTTGCCTCCTTCAAGGCCCATCTTAAGACCTTCCTCTTCGACCGTGTCACCCTCCTACCCCCCACCCTCCCTGCCCTCTACCCCTCCTGATTCCAACTCCCAGCTCGGGTGCAAATCCTTGTCTGTCCAGTGCCTTGAGATGCCCTCCCGATGTGAAAGGTGCTATAGAAATGTAATTGTTTGTTTGTTTCGACAAGAATGGATCTCTAGAAATGGGATCTACCTGTCCTCAGGCATTTAAATTTATGGTTTGTAGCACTTACTTCTGTGGGAATTCATCTCCCAACAGTTCAAGTATTTAGAAAAATAAACAATCCTTGCATTTGATATAGTGCCTTTCACTTTGGGAGGCCGTTTTAAAGTACTTCACGGATATAATGTAAAGAGTAGTGACTGTAATTTACAGGCAAATGTGGCAGCCAATTTTGTGCACACAAATGTCAGACATATAACCACAAAGTAAACAATATTAATAATAATAATAATAATAATCCTTGCATTTGATATAGCGCTTTTCACGTCGGGAGGACGTCCCAAAGCGCTTCACAGAACACACTGTAAAGTGAATTGACTGTATATTTGTGGGCGAACGCGGCAGCCAATTGCGCACAGCAATGTCCCACAAACAGTCGTAGATTGAAAATGACCAATTTAATTATTGTTTTTGGTTTTTTGGAGGGATTATTATTAATCAATTGTATCTGGGGGAATGTTTGCAGGAGACCCGGAAAAACTGCCTCACTTTTCAAATAGTGCCATGGGATCTTTAACACCTGAACAGGCAGATGGGACCTTGCTTTAATGTCTCATCCAAATAATGGAACCTTCAACAATGTAGCGTCTCTCCAGCACTGCACTGGAGTGTCAGCCTGAACTATGTTAGTTCAAAACTTTGAACCCACAACCTTCTTATTAAGAAGTGAGAGCGCTAGCAAGTGAGCCAACGGCACAGGCACGATGGGCCGAATGGCCTCCTTCTGTGCTGTATAATTCTATGATTCTATGAATTAACATTAATGACAAACAATCGTGGAGCAGGCAATAACTTAGAAAGTGAGGTGATAGAAGGAGTCAATCTAACCAAACCGTTTTAGCTGAAGAGACATCACCAGCTTAACCTATTTCTGATTTGAAATGGTTAAAAATGGTTAAAAAGAGTACAGTGGGTGGGACAGGTACGGTCAACATCAATGGAAAGGCTGCCTGCGATGGGTAAACCACAGAGGGAATTTATATAGAAGGTAGTGCGGGAGAAGAACCTCAAAGGCACAGCATTAAAGTTAAATTTCCATTTGTTGTCATAAATTGTTGATGTTCAAAAGTAAAACCTCTAATTATTAGACACTCACCTGAACTGTAGCTTTAGGAATCCAGGCCAAAGAAACAAAGATTTTTTCTTTTAAGCTAAACCCAGCACACAGGACCATGAAAAATGTGACAAAGATTCTGATCACAAGGGCAATAATCAGAGTGGCAATCCCAAGACCTAGGATAACATTGGAAATAATTGAATACCCAAAACAAATATTTTGAAGCAACACTTTGCAATAATCGACAATGTTAAAATGATCCTCAGCAGCATTTGAGATTAGAAACTTTTCATTTTGGTGACTGCTTGCCTCAGTTGGAAACATTTTTTGCTTCTAAATTAGAGGCTGTGGGTTCAAGCCGAAAGTTGGGACTTTGAATATACATAGCATAGGCTTAGAGAGTGCTTCACTGTTCAAAGGGCTGTACTTCATAAGAAATGTTAAACTGAGGTCCTATCTGCCTTTTAAGGTGGATGTTAAAGATCCCATGGCTCTATTCGAAAATAGAAGGGTGTTTCTTCCGGTGTCCAGGCCAACAATCCCCCAAATAAAATTGGTCACTCACTTCATAACTGTTTGTGAGGTATTGCTGTGTGCAAATTGGCTGCCATGCTAGCCTATAAAATATGCAATAATTGAACTTTACAATAAATCCTATGAATGATCACCTTGCTCCAATAGCCCACCGCCAGATCTGGCTGGACTGCACCAAAAACCTATTGTTCCACCCTTGCTTCAGCCTAATTGAACTTGTACTCCAAGATCATCCTGAAGGTAAAAGACAACCCCAGACTCCTCTTCACCACAAATCAGCTCCTTCGCCCACCTTCGCATGCCGTGCCCATCCTCTCCTCCAACTCCAAATGCGAGGCGATATGGATTTCTGCAAGCCCCAAATCGAGAGGATCTGCTTTGCTGCCTCGGCCCTTGCTACTGCCACTCCCTCTCCACCTCCCTCACTCTCTGGCCTCCATCCATCCCTCCACACCTTCGTCCCATAACTGATCTTGAGGTATAGATCAACCATGATTTTATAAAATGGCAGAACAGCCACTCCTGTTCCTATGTATCTCTCCCTCTTTCCTATGTCATCTCCTGAATGAAGCCAACCATGTAATCCCTTACACCAATCCCACCCCCTCCCCTGACCTCCCAGTTCTACCTCCTTGGCCCGCCCTGCTAACAAACATCATCAAGCTCTCTTTGTCCACCAGCAAAGTTCCCGCCTCCCTCAAAACAGCTGTCATCACCCCTCTTCAAAAAACCTTCCCTCGAAGCATCCCTGTTCCCCATGTACAATTTCATCTCCAACCTGCCTTTCCTCTCCAAGGTACTGGAATGGGCATTGCTTCCCAGTTTCTCTCTTTCCTTTCCCTGCAATCCCTGCATGAACCCCTCTTAATTTAACTACTCATAGCAACACCAAATTGCATTAATATATCACCTTTCGCATCAGGAGGACATCCCAAGGTGCTGGAGAGTCAAGGGTTTGCCCTAGTACTGGGGGTTGGATTCGGGACCGGTGGGAGCTAAGGGAGGGGAGATAGAGGGGGAAGATGACCGATGCGATCAGAGAGGAAGGTCTCCAGATGGACCTTAAGGAGGACCTTAATGAGGGAATGGGCGAGTCGGATGGACTCTGGGATGGAGTTCCAGAATGGGGGCAGATAGGCTGAAAGCCCGACCACTCTGATGGTGGAATAGGCAGGGTGGGGGACATGAAGCAGACCAGTGTCTGCTGAGCGGAGGGATTCGGTGGGTTTGTAGGATAATATCGGCGGACCGAGAATAGAGCCACAGAACCGAGTCTGCCCTGGTCAAAGTCACCAAACACACCCTCTCCATCTGTGACCAGGGCTTTCTCAGCTTCCTCATTCTCTTCATCTCTCTGCCACCTTCGACACTATCGACCATTCTACCCTTCTCCACCCCTCTACTCTCACCTTCATTGTTCTGCCCTTTCCTGATTTCATTCTTACCTAATCCCAATGTCTCCACTTCATATCTGCCAACAGCTTCTCCTCGCACTATCACATGTGGCATTCCTCAGGGCTCTAACCTCAGTCTTCCTTTAATATCTACATGCTTCCACTCGGTAATATCTTCCAGGCATGGGGGTTACATCAACATTATGTAAATGACATCCAATTCTATCTCTCTGCCTTCACCCTCAATTCCAGGACCACTGTTCTTTTGACCAACTGCCTGTCGGATATTAAGTGCTGGATGAGAGCCAACTTTCTCTAACTGAATGTTGACAAGACGGAGGCTCTCCTGCTTGGCTCCTGTTAGGATTTTCTCATCTCAGGTGTTGACAGCATTAATCTACACTGATGTACACTCCACATCATGGAGCCAGTGTAGAACCTTGGTGTCTTGTTCGATTCTCAACTGACCTTTAAACCTCACATCCATGACCCATTCAACTTTCCCCCACCTCCGCAATACTGGCTGCCTCCACTAATAACTCTCCCCTCAAGCTGCCAAGACCCTATCCATGGATTCATCATGTCCAGCCTGGACCACTGCAACTCTCTGCTCACTGAACCTCCCAACTATTCCCTTCACATGCAGAACTCTGCAGTTCATGTCCTCTCCTGCACTAGGCTCCGCAAGCAAACAATTCTCACCCAGCTCCACCGGCTCCCTAACCCCACAGGAGTGGAGTTCAAGATCCTCATCCTCACTTTTAAATCCCTCCATGGTCTTGCTCCACCTTGTCTCTACAGCCTTCTTAAACCTTACCATCCTGCTCATTCCATCAGTTCGGCAGACACTAGCCTGTTTCATGTATAATAAAGTACGCCTAGACTATGAGCTCAAAATCTCAATGTGGGACCTGAACCCATAACCTCTGACTTAGAGGCAAGAGTACTATCATTTGAGCCAGGCTGAGACCCAAAGTTTTCAATTAAATATCAAAACACTTCACAAAATTACAATGTTCTGAATTACATATTAAAATTAAGTATTAAATTCCTTACCGACTGTATTTATTTCCAGAGAGGCAATAGATATCTCTGCTCCAATCAATCCAAACAATAATGGTTGGAAAATGGACCAGGCAATACCAGTTAAACCTTCAATTTCGCTCTAAACCAAAAAACAAATATTCTAAATGAGAAGAGGAAACAGCACCACCTTGTGACATTAATATTTATTATTCATGCCTACAACAGGAAAGCATGGAGAGAAAACATCATTAGGCCTACCAAGCTTACTGCTTCCACAAACTATGCAGAGTTTACCTAGCAAAGGCTTTAATTCACAGGATGGTAACCATCAATGCCCCATGAGGTTCATTACTTTAGTCACTGACATGTTCCAAAACAGATATTTATCCAGCTATTTCTGAAGAAATTAACAGACATAGCATCAGCCACTTTTTCTGAGAGTTTGTCCACATATCCACTACAAAAGATGTGTATTTCTAATCTCCTATTGCACTTGAAGCTGGTGAATTTTGTACTGCACCCTCTAGTTCTGAAATCAAATTCAAGTGAAATAGATGAGTGTCAGAAAGTTAGGCTCTCTAATGTGTATCACAGTTGAGCCAGACTATGTCTATACTGATGAATTTTCCAAAAAGGTCACTGAATAGTGATTAGGAGCAGAAAGCCTGATTTTACTCCTCTCCTAACATTCCAAGTATTCAGTACTGAGACCAAACTTAGCCCCTGTACTGCTGCTGTGGCTGAAGTTAGCTAATTTGGCAGACAAGAGAATTTTCCAGTTTCATTTGCCTCAAGGTTTACACTGGACAATGCCGATACAAACTGAATCAATAGTTGTATTTGAATTATCTTCTAATCACATCCATTTGATCTGCAACAGCAACAATATGTATTTATATTGCATATTTTATATAGGGTAACATCTTGGGGCACTGTACAAAGACAGGATTGAACCCCAAACAAACAAGGAAGGGAGGTAGCTACAGGTGCAGTCAAATAGGTCGTTTTTTAAGGTGTGTCTTAAAGATAGATTGGGGGAGGGCAATACAGTGGGCTAGAGGGAGGGGAGTGCACAGGAAGCCCAATTTTGGTGAGGGAGGTTGGGGGAGGAAGGTAAGCAAAGGAGTGGGTAGAAGAAGATCAAGAACTAACATTTTCCATTTTTTGGGGGCCGTTCACATCAGGAGGATGTCTCAAGGCGTTGAACAATTAGTGTTTCGGACCCGAGCTGGGGGTCGGTATCGGGGAAGGTGGAGAGCAGGTGGGGAAGGACGGTGACCGAAGGCACAGTTGAAGAGGAGGGTCTTGAGATGGGTCTTGAAGGAAGGAAGGGTTAAGGTTAGGGTTAGGGAAGAGAGGGGACAAGGCAGAGGGACTGCAGAATCGAGTTCCAGAGGATGGGGGCAGGGTGGCTGAAGGCCCCCCCGCCAATGAAGATCAGAGAGATAAGGAAATAATAGAGAATGAAAGGAATTATAGACGAGTGTAAGGACCTGGAAATTAATCCGATGAGAGCCCAATGGGAACCTGGGGTGTTGGGCGTGCAGAGTTTGGTGTGGATGTGGTCAGCAGAGGTTTGGATTAGCTGAAGTTTATGGATGGTAGATATGGGGAGACCAGCAAGGAGTGGATTAGGAAAGTCTAAGCAGGAGGTAATGAATAAAGGTTTTGACATTTTGTGTGAGATAGGGGTGAAGGCAGGCAATGTGGCCAAGGTTAAGGAAAGCTGTCTTGGTCAGAGACCAGGAGAAAGGAGAACTGAGGATCCGAGGTTGCACATTGGTTCAGCCAAATCCAAACTGATCTTCCCATTCTTTGCACAGGTTTTGATAGTTATTTTAATAAAGGATTAAACTGATTTTGTGAGGTTTCAAAAATAAATTTCAACATTTGTCTTATTGGATTAATATCCTACCTTGCCATCAACCCATCCGTTCCCAGCAAGAAATGCAATGACAATGGTACACAGTCCACCAGAACCAGGGAAGCCAAATACAGTCGCTGCAAAAATAGCAAACACGCACAGACCCAGCACGAGGTAGAAACGTTTCATCAGAAGATTATCCTGGAAATGGAAAAATAAATTACATAGAAATACAAGGAACAATACAGCATGGAAATAGCCCATTCAGCTCAATTAATCCATACCAGTGTTTATACTCCACTTAAGAGTCCACCGCTCCTACCCTCTTCTCCCAGACCCTTCTATTCCTTTCTCTTTCATATATGCATTCAGTTTCCTCTTACTTTTTTTGGGTCAGCCAGTATCTGAAACCTGTGGAAACCATCATACTTAAGAATATCAACAACTTCAACAACTTGCATTTATATAGTGCACTTCAGGCAATGCATTCTAGACCATTACAATTCTCTATGTAAAAAAAATTCTCCTCATCTGCCCTCTGGTTCTGTTGCCAATTATCTTACACCTATGCGCTCTGGTTACTGACCCACTGGCAGTGGAAACAGTTTCTCCCTCTCTATCCTATCAAAATCCCTCATCATTTTGAACACCTCTATTAAATCTCTCATTAATCTTCTCTGCTCTAAGGAGAACAATCCCATCTTCTCTAGTCTCTCCACATAATTAAAGTCCCTCATCCCTGGTACCATTCTGGTTAATCTACTCTGTACCCTCTCCAGGGCCTTGACATCCTTCCTAAAGTGTGGCGCCCAGAACTGGACACAATACTCCAGGTGAGGCCTAACCAATAACTTATAAGGGTTTAGTAAAACTTCCTCGCTTTTGTACTCAATGCCTCTGTATATAAAGCCGAGGATCCCATATGCGTTTTTAATAGCTCTATCAACCTGTCCTGCTACCTTCAAATACCTGTGTATGTGAACTCCCAGGTCTCTCTGATCCTGTACCCCCTTTAAATCTGCATTGTATATTGCCTCTCCTCATTCTTCCTCCTCACACTTCTCTGCATTAAACTGCATGTGTCTGCTCATTTCACCAATCTCTCTATATCCTTCTATAGTCTGCTACCATCCTCCTCACTGTTTACTACATTCCCAAGTTTTGTATCATCTGCAAACTTTAAAATTTTGCTCTTTATACCCAAGACCAAGTTATTCACATATATCAAAAAGTGCAGTGGACCTAATGTATACCTCACTGTATACTTCCTTCCAGGCTGGAAAACAACCCTTCACCACTACCCTCTGCTTTCTGTCTCCTGGCCAATTTCGTATTCATGCTGCCACTGTCCCCTTTATCCCATGGGCTTCAATTTTGCTAACTAGTCTATTATCTGGTACCTTGTCAAGCCCCTTCTGAAAGTCCATGTAAACTACATCAACTATATTATCTTCATCAATCGTCTCCTTTATTTCATTAAAGAACTCAATTAAGTCTGTCAGACACAATTTGCCTTTAACAAATCCATGTTGACTGTCATTAATTAACTTATCTTTTTCTAAGTCAAAAACAATGTTGTCCCAGATTATGGTCTGTGGAAGTTTCCCAACCACTGACAGCTGACAGGTCTGTAGTTACCAGTTTTATCCCTCTCCCCTTTTTTTGAACAGGGGTGTAACATTTGCAACCCAAATCAATCCCACTCCCCCACTCTCTCCCCATAGCCCTGCAAACTTGTCCTCCCCAATATTCAATGTGACTGACCTCTTCCCTCCAACCCCACCCCCAATCGTGGCCTCCTATTGGACCAACATTCTTTAAAGCAGATACATGGAAAACCGATGATTTTACTGTTCAGCACTTCCATTCAACGGTGACATAAACAACTGGGCACAGGAATCATAGGAAAATTAGAAGAACAGTAGGAAACCATTCAAGCCTGTTCCACCAGTTTATTAGATGTCAGTAGGTCCCAATCTCAATGCCCAGTCCTTTCGCTGTATTCTTTGTGCCCTCTACCACCCAACTATTTGTTTATCTCTCTTTTAAAGCGCTTTGAGATGTCTCGAAGACATGATAAAGCGCTATATCAAATGGAAAGATTATTATTAAACGTCCTTATCAAATCCTCCTCTAAAGTTTGTCTGGGTAGAGCATTCCATATCTTCCAAGGAGCAGTTCTGTAAATCTTAAAGTTTTAGAAAGAAAAGCAAAACAAAAAAGGCGCTCAGTAAGTGCCTCTTACCTGGTCCTTGCTTGGAATATATCGAAGAATAAAACCAATAATAGCTCCTATCACCATTCCAAGAATAACTTCAAGGAATCCCCTGATTATATTTGTAACCATAGATCCTTTAGAAAAAGGAAATAACATAATTAATTTCTTTGCAGACAGCATTTCATGGTTGTTTGCGGGATATTGCAATTTGCAAATTCACTGGCATGTCCACTTACAAAATACACAGTCACTACACTTGAGCAGTAAAGTGCTTTCAGACATCCACCTGAAATAAAAGTAAAAGACTCTATATCACATGTAAGGATTACTGATATAGTTTTGTGAATGACAGAACATACATGAATGGTGAGCAACAGCAGCGATAACCAAAGTCGACTCAGCAGTAGGTTCCATGGAGTAGATGACAAGAGAGGCAGGATCAAGAAAATTCACTTACTTTTTTCTGCACAATGTACAATATATAGACACACTTCCTGCTCTAGTGTGGTTTTTTGATCTTCATTAGTAATTTTTAAAAACATTTGTTATACACCTGAATAGTGATTTGCCCTCACAAGGTTGGGTTCCAAGAGCAAGCGAGTAATGTTACAATTGTACAAGACATTGGTTCAGAAGCAGTTGGAGTTTGCATTCAGTTTTAGGCAATTTATAGAAAGACATGGAGAGGGTCTAGCGGAGATACATTAGGATGATACCCAGGATGATATTAAGTATCCTTGCATTTGATAAAGTGCATTATCATATCATCAAAGTGCTTCACAGGATTTAATGTAAAAAGTAGTGACTGTATTAGTAGGCATATAAAAGGTTATAGGATTGTTGAGAGGTCAGAGTAGTTGGTACCATCTTTGTCAGAGGAGAGAAAGTTAGAGATAATCTAATAGAGGCTTTTTAAAAATTATGATTGGTTTTATTAGTATATCTATGTTTACAAAATATATAAATTGGTTATTTTCAATCCACGACTGTCTGTGGGACAATTGGCTGCCGCGTTCGCCCACAACTATACAGTCAATTCACTTTACAGTGTGTTCTGTGAAGCGCTTTGTGACGTCTGGAAGACGTGAAAAGCGCTATATCAAATGCAAGGATTATTATTATTGTTATAAATATTAAATAGAGATATACTATTTACTATGCGATATTTACTGAATACCAAATCAACACCATGGGGGGTGGATTGACATTAACTTATTGCAGTGTTTGCAATTGCCAATACAAAAATAAAAAAAAGAGAGATATCAGGAAAAACAGAGCTGTATCAGGATACACACAGAATTAAAAGGGCCAACTTCCAGTAGATAAAGTCACCACAGAGGTCACATGTGCACGATGCTCTAATGTCACTGCCTATTCTTTTACAGCCTCAACAAATACAGCTCTTTGTTTGGATATTGGTACTTTTCTCATCCTCCCATTTCATAGCCATTTAAGATCAGGCAAAACAGAAGCATTGCCATGGATACATTTTGATAGTCCACGGGAAAAGGCAAAGCACAACTAAGAGTGTTAATAGTCATAAATCTTCCATTTCTTATTGAGAGCACAATGACTGAATGGTCATATTGCTATGGAGTCGACCAACAGTGCAACAAGAATGTCCACATCTGGAAAAAAATTATTAATGCAGTTACTTTGGTGAAGTGTTCTATGAAATGCAGACAAAAATAGTGAGTGAAGAATCTGCTCAATTTATTGTTTTTATAAGCAAAACAATAATATAATAATAATAATCCTTGCACTTGATATAGTGCTTTTCATGTCTTCTAGACGTCTCAAAACGTTTCACAGAATATAATTAAAGTGAATTGACTGTATATTTGTGGGTGAAATGCGGCAGCCAATTGCGCACAGCAGTGTCCCACAAACAGTCGTGGATTGAAGCGACCAATTTATTATTGTTTTTTTTTCTTGAGGGTTTATTATTAGGCATGTGGAGTAAGGAAACTTGCCCAAGGTTTTACCCTGCTGGGAATCGAACCCAGGTTACTCGCTTGAGAGGCAAGTGGTCTAACCACTGAGCTACAGGACTCAACGACAGATGACAAAGTGGAAGGGAATATCCACCAAACTAGAGAAAAAAAAAGGTATAAAAACCTATATTTGAAAAGCTGATGTAGCCTCAAGAAAAAGGTTGGAAATGCTGCTGCTGCCAACTTTATTGTAGGAAAACACACACATTATTTTTAGGTTCAGCTATCTTGATTAAAATCCTATTTTGATTCAACAGCAGTTATGTTCTACAAAGATTCTCGCTAATGATTCGCTTACAAGCTAACTATAAATTATAACTCAGATGATGAAATAACAATAATAATAAACTTTACATTTGGTATAGCACCTTTCATGATAGGAGGATGGTACAAATCGCTTCATAGGATATACTGTAAACTGCAGTGTTTTGAGGGCGAATGCGACAGCCAATTAGCACACAGCAATGTTGCACAAATGGCCATGAAGTGGGTGACCAATTTTATTCAGTGGCAGTTTTAGCCAGGACACTGCCTTCTCTTTTCAAATAGTTCCATAGAATATTTAACATCTACCTAAACAGACAAACGGGGCCCGGTTTTACATCTCATTTGAAAAACAGCAGCATATCCCCAGCATTGATTTGGAGTGTCATTATAGACTATATGAGTTCCAAGTCCCAATGTGGGGCTTGAACCCACAACCTTCTGACTCAGAGAGGAAGTTGTACCAACTAAGCCAGGCTGACAACCTACAGCATCTACAGCCTGGAGATACTACAACATACCTGAAGAGAAGGCTATCCCAAGACATGTATTGAAGCCTGTAATAGCCAGGATATCATCAAAGCTGCCTGCAGCCATAAGTAGTGTTGGGATTCCCTTATCAACACCAAACCCTTCCTCCTGGAGTATCAGCATGCTGGGTACCACAACAGCAGGTGAAACTGCAGCAAGTACAAACCTGAGAATAGGGAAATCACAATCAGAGTGACAAAGAACAAATACACAGAAAATACACAAATGGACAGTTTATACAATAGTACAAATTTATATTTATATAATTTCATGTCAGGAGGAGCATTCCAAGATGCTTGACAGTCCTGGCTTGGCACTCGAGCTGAGGGTGGGAGCAAGAGTGAGTGGGATGAATGATGACTGAAAGCGCGGTCAAAGAGGTTGGTCTTGAGGAAGATCTTGAAAGAAGAACAACAATAACTTGCACTTATATAGCGCCCTCCACCCAGGGCAGCGTTTCAGAGCGCTTATCAGTGGCGGAGCCTGACTCCGAGAAGGGGGGAGGGGGGAGGTGGCCATAAGCACAGTTGAACAGGAAAGTTTTTAGGCAGGAATTGAAAGAGGGGATAGACGGGCAAGATGGAGGGATTGAGGGAGAGTGTTCTACAGTGTGGGGCGGAATGAGCGAGGGACGAGCATGAGGCCAGAGCCAGTCGAGCGGAGGCACCAGATGGTGGATTGGGGAGTGAGGTCAGAGAGTGAATGAATTTGAACACGAGTGTGAGGTTCTTGAAGTTGATCCATTCGGTGATGGGGAGCCAGTGGAGCCTGGCCAGAACTGGCCACAGAAAGAGGTGAGGAAGAGGGTGAGTCAGTGGAACTCTGTGAAGTTGTTCCAGAGAGTGGGGGCAGAAGGGCTGAAAACCCAACCACCAATGGTGGGGTGAGTAGGGCTGGAGACATGAAGCAGGCTGAGCCCGCTGAGCAAAGGGAGCAGCCGGGTTGGTATGGTTTGAGGAGGTTAATGAGGTAGGGTGAGGGAGATCATGGAGAGATTTGAAATTAAGATGGGGAGCCAATGGAAGCCAGATGAGAATCGGAGTAAATAGGCTCCAGAGCCAAGTGTGGGAAAGGACACAGGATGCAGATTTCTGGTTAGATTGCAGCTTGTGTAGGAAGAAGTTGGGCCATATAGCAAGCAGAGCATTGGGGCAATCAAACCTGGAGGTGGTAAATGTTGTTTAGCGTCTCACTAACCCTAGGGAAAAGGTAGAGGCGGAGGTGTGCAATATTATGGAGGTGGAGAAAAGAGTGGATCAGAGCACGGTTGTGAGATTGAAAGCAGTTTGGAGTTATAATCACACTTGCAGACTAATGCAATAAGGGAAATAAACAACATTACTGTAACAACACTCAGAAGTTTTGGATTTGGTTTTAGTAAGCACTGTCAGGATTTATGGCACAAATACATTGAGTCAATGGCAGCTTCCTTTGATGCACTATTACATCCAGTACAGTTGAACATTTATCTCAATGAATGTAAACTTTACATCTTTATTAGAACTATTACATTTAGTATGTTTGCCTCAATCTCAGAGACTAAACAAGTATAACTCACTATAGACCAAGAGAACTTGATTTTAAGAGGCCACATCAACTGTATCAGATGTCAGCTTGGCTTAGTTGATACTCTCACCTCATGAAGGCCATGCATTCAGGATATCAGGATGGTTCTCATAGTCCAGACTGAAACTTCAGCAGTATTGAGGGAGCACCACATTTCCAGTGGTAATGATCAGATGAGACAATAAATTGAGGTCTCCAAGTGGACATTAAAGTTACCATGACACTATTTTAAAATAATATTAATAATACTTCCATTTGATATAGAGTCTTATCACATCATTCAGACGTCTCAAAGCACTTCACAGAATATACTGTAAAGTGAATTGACTGTATATTTTGTGGGTGAAACACGGCAGCCAATTGTGCACAGCAGTGTCTCATAAACCGTTGTGGATTGAGTGACCAAAATTATTATTTATTTGGAAGGATTATTACTACCAGAAAGCGATCCACCAATCAACTAATAACCAGGTTCCTACTTACAGCTAGGTAAACAGAAGTGTGTGGAGCAAGGAACTTGACCAACGTTTCGCCCTGCTGGGAATCAAACCTGGGTCCCCTCGCTTGCGAGGTGAATTTTCTAAACAATATGCTACAGGACTCCACTTTAAAATCATTATACGAACCACAAAAACACAGCCAAATTCTGAGTTATCAGGCTACCTAAATATTACAAAAATAAATTAATGAAATTATTTTAGCCCTCTTCGTCATTTAATCTAAATGCTTCTTTTATTTGAATACATTGTTATATATAAAATGTTATGAAATAATTAGTATTTCTGATTCCTGGTGACTTTTGGGTAAAAATTATCATTTCTGTTGTTTCATTGCAGGCACTTACCCCAGGATGAAACCCCATGACCATGGCATCTGCAAGAGAAAATGTGCAAGAACACAAACTGCACAAGTTTCTACGATGCAAGGGCCAAACGCCAACCTGATGCACACAGCCTTCAACTTCATTAAAGCCTAGAGATAAAAATACATGTTAACACAGAAACAGAATTCACTCCCAACTGTGCCAAAATTAAACAATTAGAATATTAAATAATCAAATTCTAACAGAAAATTGGCTAACAACTTTCACCGGCAAATGAGAACGAGTGAAGGCCAAATGAGAACGAGTGTACGGCAGATACAAACCAAGGGTCAGAAGGCAACATAAAGCACAGCAAAGCTGTTTATCAACATTTTGTAAACCCCATGGGAGGTTAGATTCTTGAAACAAATCCATGTCATACACCTTACCTTCGGGTCTAGCCCAAGTCCAGCTCGGGTGAGGATAACAGCAAGGGCTATACTCCTCAAGGCCGATGACCACTTCTGGTCAATGTAGACAGCTTCACTGACAACAGGGATATTTCGTAGAAGAAAACCAGCTAGCAACATTCCTAAATTAGAAGTGGAAGAAAAACAATTCAGGTATGAATACATTTTGGGAAGATAAAGCATTGTGGCATGGAAAAACATTTTGCTTAGAAAAAGAAAAGACAAACAAAAATCTCTGCAACTGGACTTCTCAACATCTTTAATGGAGACGGAAAGATATGGAAAAGACAATAGAGCTGAAATCCCACCTTATTTAAACCAGTAGGATCGTACTGTCTTAAAATTCTTACTCACCAGAATTGTGAATATAAATTTTAAGACAGTACAATCTTACAGGTTCAAATAAGGTGGAAAATTCTTAAATTCAGCTTTAATTTGGAACTTTTGAAAAAAACACTGAGGAAAACTAGCTTGAAAATTAAGACTAATTTAAGATTTTTTCACAATTCTGTGTGTTCTTAAATTTTTTGACAAAATGATCTTAAGGACTAACAATAGATTAATTTTTCAGCCTAAGAATAATAAGATTCGCCCACAAAATATGTAGTCAATTAACTTTACAGTATATTCTATGAACCGCTTTGAGACGTCTTGAAGACGTGATAAGGCGCCATATCAAATGCAGGGATTATTATTATTAATAAAGGAAATCTCTACGGTTTAAATAATTAGCCCTCTTGTAGGTTCTAACCTCTACCATGGATTCTAATAGATATCTATGTTATGAAAAGCATACTCAAATTATACTTTTCACTGTTCACTACAAAATTACTAGTCACTGGTAGATTTATTAGGATGGTTACTAGTGATCAGTCGATACCACTGTCAAGAAAGATTGTAAAGATTAGGGCTTTTCGCTCTAGAGACAATTGAAGGGAACCTGAAAGAGATGTTTACAATTATGAAAGGATTAGATAAGGTGGACGCTAAAAGACTGCTTCCATTTGCTCGTGAGTCTAAACCAAGGTGCATAAAAATAAAAACAACAAATTTACATTTATATAATGCCTTTCATGGCAGGAAAACACCCCATAAAGATAAGATAGCCAGCAGCTGATTTAAAAGGGAGTCAAGGAGGAACGTCCTTTTTCAGAGGGTGGTGGGAATGTGCATTCCCTGCCAGAAGCTGTGATTGAAGCACAAAGCATTGACATATTACAAATGAAACTTCAGGCATATATGAGGGATGAAGGCATAGAGGGGTATGGGATTAGGCTTATGTGGAATATAAACACCAAAGCAAGACTACAACAACAAAATTACATTTATAAAGCGCCTTTCACGACAGGAGGACATGCCAATGCACTGAACAGTCAGGGATTAAATTTCCCCCCACTCCCCGAGTGGGCTACCCAGTTTTTGTGAAACCTTAATTTTTTTTCCAACAATCTACTAGTGTTATTTCTTGTTTAGTTTTTATCAACAAAGTGAGAAAATGTAGATTGGCAGTAAAATGTACCTTTCAATGGCACCAATCAAACCCCCGCGATTTTCGGGGAAATTTGGCAAACTTCCTCTCAATTTTTGGGAAACATTTCCGCAATTTTCTATTGGCCCTGGTTATAATGTAGATGGTCCTGATACATGAGGATTCTAGGTGCCCTTTTCTATTTTTCAAAGACTTATTACCAGAAGGTCGACTGGCCTCTTCCTGTGTTCCTTACCAAGAAGAGGAGGTAATGGAGGCAAATTAGGGAATTTGATCAGTCCAACGATTTTCCCTCCAACAACTGCACTCACAAACAGAATCAGATTTCCAAACAAATTGCCACCGGGTAGGCATTCGGAACCAGTGATTGACCAGACAGTAGCCCACAGAAGAACCACCATAACAACTGCAAAAGAATAATATAACAGTTTAGTATAAGTATCCAAGGACAGTGTATGTGTCCTTAAGCCTTCTGAATTCCAAGCTAAGCAAAGCCATTCCCAAGCCATTTCCTGCTCCCATTATTCCGACGCTTCGCCTCTCATATGAAATTCCAACATTTAGAGCACTCGCTTCACAAGCGAGAGGACCTGGGTTCGATTCCCAGGAAGGGTGAAATGTTGGGCAAGTTTCCTTACTCCACACACATGGCTCTGTTTACTTAGCAGTAAGTAGGAACCCGGTTGTTAGTCGATTGACGGATCATTGTTCCGGGAGTATTAATCCCTTCAAAAAAAAATAATAATTTGGTCACTCAATCCATGGCTGTTTGTGGGACGCTGCTGTGCGCAATTGGCTGCTGCTTCACCCACAAAATATACAGTCACTACAAAATTTACAGTAAATTCTGTGAAGCGCTTTGAGACACCTTGAAGACGCGATAAGGCTCTATATCAAATGCAAGTATTATTATTATTATTATTATTATTATTAAATGGCAAGAACACCATTAACCTCTGGTTTTGTATTTTTACCCCAGCACATAGGTATCCCCATAATTTAAATAGATCTCCTACAGAGCAACTTCTTCTACTCAATAACAACTTGCATTCATATAGCACTCTTCACACAGGAATAGCATTCAGTATAACACTTGTCATTTTAACCATGAACAGTAATAGAAAACTAGGTATTGAAATGTGAGCTGTAGTTTTACCTTTGGTTATTATACTGGCAAGGATTCCCTGAGGTGGACATGCACAGCATCTTCGCAGTTTTTGCCAACACCGATGAGTTTTTACAGATGGCTCTTCCATTTGCCTCGGTTTATTTAAAAAGGTGGCTTCATCCACTTCCGTAGCTAGATCTGCACTAGGAAGATGTTCTGAAGCATTCTCCTTATCCTCGTCAATCGTTTTCTGCAATAAAGGTACATGTTTTTGTAAACATTTTCTGCAATTTCTATCCATGGAATTGAAATCTTTGTAAATCTATTTACTAAAAGCAATAAGATAGCTCTCAACTCAAGCTATTCGGGACATTATGGTGAACATACAATACAAAATTTAATTTGTATAACGCCTTTCACGTCGGGAGGACGTCCCAAGCCACTGAAATGGAGCTCCAACAGCATATTGCAAACGTATCGATTCAACTACTGGAAAATACTGTTTGTGCAGAGTTCAGGAGAACACCTCAGATAATTACAGGAGTATTACAACAACAATTTCACATTTATATCACGCCTTTCCAAGATTTCATGTTGGAACAATGTATCAATGCTCTTCACAGAGCCAATTGGGAGGTCGACCTGGGAGTGGGTCTACCTTCTATATAAACTATATATAAACTATATCGTTTATATATTGAGTAATGCACCGTCAAGGGGTTTCCGAGTGGCGGGTGGGGTGGGGGAAGGTTATATATAAAATAAGGCTTGCAACATGCAATTTTGCAATTGTTTTGCCTACTAGGTGAGATTCTTTTGACATAAATAGTTTCTCCCTCTTTTATCCTTGATGTCTCACACAAGAATGGGCTTGCCCTTGCATTTATTATAGTACCTTTCATATCAGGAGCTTATCTCAAAGCACTTCGCAAGATTCACAATAGTGCAGTGACTGTATTTGTAGACGAATACAACAGCCTGCAAATTTGCAGACTGCCGTGTCCCACAGGTTTATCTGGGGGATTGTTGATCAGAACACTGAGAAAACACTCTGCTCCTCTTTACTTTTTTGCTATAGGATCTGAATGGGCAAAGAGCTCCTCAGTTTAAATTCTCAAAGGACAACACCTCTGACAATGAAATACATTTAAAATCCTAATCTTGGAAGTGAACCCACAACGTTCTGAGTCAGAGTTAAATGTGCTGCCAACTGAGCTAAGTTGACACTTGATTCCATGTAATTCTATGTAAGGAGCATAACCAATTATTATAGAGACAGTAAGGTACCTGCTGAGAATTTTTACCCGTTCAAAATGATTTAACGAAACCAAAGCCAGGAAAAAAGCTACTTAAAAACAATTAGAAAAATAAAACAATTTAATGGAAAATCTACAAAATTGTCTAATCTTAAACCAGCCCAGGACTGAAGTTGTGCTGTGGCAGTTAACATGGTAGTTGAACACATGCTGCTAATACCAGAAAAGAAGCTCTATGTTTATCAGCAGAACCAGTATTGTTTGTATTGGAATCTATGGACTTGTTAAATAACACAGCAGATGGCTTTCAAGGATTGGAGCTAAGAAAAGCGTTGATGTACCACACTGCTGCAGAGAACACCAACTCCTATTACAATAACGACACCTTAGACGTACCCAGAAACAAGAAGTCTCTGCTGTGCCAATTCCTGTGTTTTCAGTGTGGATACAAATACAAAGATCTAAATGATTCCATCAGAACATTAGTGTTTCGATTTCTAATGACACATTCATATTTTCAAACACTTTTGAAAAACAACAATATTGAAGGAATTGTGACTGACATATGTTTTTCCTGAGTGCNTTTTTACTCTTATAAGTAACTGTGTTGCAAAGAAAGAAGAATTAGCAAGCACCCGTTTCTCCCCTCTATTCAGTCCAGGCAGGGTCTTGCCTTGGATGTTAATTTTCAAAACATGATTAAGTACAATATATGTTTTCAGTAGAAAGAAGGATCACCATTTTAAAAGTAGGGATACTGAGCAAACAATAACAGCACAACTTCATCTTCTCACCAGTTTATTGGAAGTGCACGGTGCAGGGGCAGGAAGAATAGCAAATAAATCAACTGTGTGTGAGATTGTGAGAGGAGGCATGGCTCGTAGAATTGTCTCTTCTCCAACTTGCCTTGAAAATTCTGTCTTGAACAAATTTCAATCAACCTGAATAATTATGAATATTTATATAAAACAGTAAAACAGACTCCGATTAAAATATTTACCTGCGACTGTAACTTCACATTCAGGCTTTTCAAATAAGTTCCATCTGCCCGTATAGCGTTATCGGATTGTTCTTGAACATCGTTGTTTGCCATGTTGATTCAACTACATGAAAGGGAAAGAGGTGTGAAACCAGCAGGAAGTGATCACGCAGCATTATTCCAGCACTCCAAAGCTGTACAGGGAACCAGTAGGAATCAGATAACGCCACACTCTTTTAGGGTAAGAATCTCTCAGTTATAATTTATTTCAAGGCTACTGCTGCCAGGCCTCCAGCAAACTGTTCCAAGCCGGCTGTTTGAAGTCGTAAAGAGCAACTTGCACTACAAGTTAGAAGAAAGGGCTTTCTTCCGTTTCTTTATTTTCAGCGGCTGAATGTCTGACACATGGGGAAACCTTTCACTGTAAACGAGAGTAAACAAACCACGTTAAGATTTCTACATATGTATCCCATTTACACATGGAAACTTCCCCGTGTCTGGAATGCAACACATGCGTCTTATTTGACCCTCAAGTAACCTTTCTATCCCACATCTGTGCTATGACCAGCTCTGCCTTCCCCCACCTCTGCAACATCGTCCGGCTCTGCCACTCTCTCACACCGCCGGCTGCCGAAACCCTTATACATGCTTTCATTACATCCAAGCTCGACTATGTCGGCCTCCCCAACTCCTCCCTCCATAGGCTGCCGATCATCCAGAACTCTTTCGCACTGGGCTCCATGACCCTGTCACTCACCCGACTCCACTGGCTTCCCATCACACAGAGGGAACAGTTCCAGATCCTGGTCCTCACCTTCAAAGCCCTCCATGGCCTTCCTCCCCCCCCTACCTCTGCAACCACCTAATCCCCTACCGTCGTGCTCGCTCCTCCGCTCAGCGGGCTCTGGCCTGCTTCACATCCCCCGCCTCGCTTACCCCACTATTGGCGGGTGGGCCTTCTGCCACTCTGCCCCCACCCTCTGGAACTCCATCCCGCAGTCCCTCCGCCTCTCCCCCTCTCTTGCCTCCTTCAAGACCCATCTCAAGACCCTCCTCTTTCACTGTGCCTTCGATCATCCTCCTTTACCCCTGTCCTCCGCCGTCCCCGATCTCGACCCTCAGCTCGGGTCCGAAACTCTGTCTGTCCAGCGCCTTGGGACGTCCTCTCGACGTGAAAGGCGTTATACAAATGTAATTTTGTTGTTTCAAATATAGATTTTATCAACATTCGAACAGACAAATCAACTACACTATAATAATAATAATAATCCTTGCATTTGATATAGCGCTTTTCACGTCGGGAGGACGTCCCAAAGCGCTTCACAGAACACACTGTAAAGTGAACTGACTGTATATTTGTGGGCGAACGCGGCAGCCAATTGCGCACAGCAATGTCCCACAAACAGTCATAGATTGAAAATGACCAATTTATTATTGTTTTGTTTTTTGAAGGGATTATTATTAGGCATGTCCCTTATACAGATATACTGGGCAACAGACAGAATCAAAATCATATTACCTGATTCAACTCTGGCCAACAACAGCTCCTAGAGCTCCCACAATACATTCCTACCACTGGAGAAAGCCGTCCTTCCTTATGAACCTCACTACTCTTCCTCTTTCACTTTTAGTTTCTGGTTTTCCCAGCTCCGGGATAATCTTCACTGATTATCTCTTGGCTACTTCTGTTAGTGTGATTACATATCATTTCTGCATTTTATCTATTTGATTACTTTATAACCCTCAATTCTTCTGGAACGTTCAGTTGCTGCTATCAATATACCAATGTATCCCGACGTGATAGTCAGTATATTTCAACACAGTTCCACCCACAATTCCAGGACTGCTGCTCTGACTGGCTGTCAGACATCGAGTTCTAGATAAGTTTTAACTTTCTTTAGCCGAACGTCAACAAAACTTAAGCTGCCTCATTCAATTCTTGACAGCTCTTTCCTGTCACTGACTCTGACACAATCAGCCGTAATGGCTACTCATTCAGTCTGATTGAGACAGCACTCAATCTTGGTATTCTGCTAAAACAATTGGACCTTCCTGTGTCTGGTAGCTGTATAATACAGAAAGCAGTATATAATTTTTCTGAAGGCATAGCCTTAAAGTACTGCATGCAAATTGTCCTCAACTGACTAAATACTACTGTATGTAAATCCTGTTAAATCTAGCAATAAAGCAAGCCTTTTATCCATAATGAGTTACAATATTGTATTTGTACACTTTGGGACGTCCTCCCGACGTGAAAGGCGCTCCATAAATGTAATTTTGTTGTTGTTGTTGTTGTATTGCATACAGCCATATCTTACTAACCTATCACATACAATTTGAGTTCCAAGTCCCAGCAAGGGCTTGAACACACAACCTTCTGACTCAGAGATGAGAGTGGTACCAACCACAGAAACAGCTTAATGCTGTAAAGGGAAGGCAGGGTGAGTGTTCTGGAAGAATGAGATCAAATAGGCTGAAGGACCTTCTTCATCCAAACATCTTTTATGATACAGCATTAGTCAACATTTCCATTTAATATATATTTCTTAAATAAGGTGATTATTATATCTTGTTGTTGTTTAAATCAATGTTATATCATCAATTTGCAGAAGCCACATGAACACCTTTTTAAAAAATCATTTAGAATTTTGCGGAAAGCAAGATATTTTTACTTAACCAGAAAAGAATCAATGAACATAATTATAGCATAAACAGGGAAACACTGAGACAACAACAACAACAAGATTCCATTTATAGAGCGCCTTTCACGTTGGGAGGACGTCCCAAGGCGCTGTACAGTTAGGTCGGGACCCGAGCAGGGGGACATGGTCAGGGTGAGGGGAGGGAAGGGAGGGAGCGAGGAGGGGGTAGAGAGTCGAGAGGGGAGCTGAAGTCCCTTGGAGTCCTGTAGCTCAGTGGTTAGAGCACTCGCTTTGCAAGTGAGAGACCCGAGTTCAATTCCAGACAGAGGGCGAAACCTTGGGCAAGTTTCCTTACTCCACACACCTAATAATAATCCCTCCAAAAAAAAAACAATAATAAATTGGTCATTTTCAATCCATGACTGTTTGTGGGACATTGCTGTGCGCAATTAGCTGCCGTGTTCGCCCACAAATATACAGTCAATTCACTTTACAGTGTGTTCTGTGAAGCGCTTTGGGACGTCCTCCCGACGTGAAAAGCGCTATATCAAATGCAAGGATTATTATTATTATTATTAAAGGTCTTGAGACCGGCCTTGAAGGAGGAAAGGGAGGAGGAAAGTCGAAGGCACTGGGGGATAGAGTTCCAGAGCCTCGGGGCTGAGAGGCTGAAGGCCCGGCCACCGATGGTAGGGCGGTTGGGGCGGGGGATGTGGAGCAGACCGGAGCCAGAGGAACGGAGGGTACGGGCAGGTAGGTAGGGGGATAGTAGGTCGGAGAGGTAGGAGGGAGCGAGGCCGTGAATGGCCTTGTAGGTGAGGATGAGGATCTTGAATTCGATCCTCTGGGGGATGGGGAGCCAGTGGAGGCGAGCGAGGGTGGGAGTGATGTGGTCGCGGTGTCTGGTGCGGGACAGTACACGAGCTGCAGAGTTCTGAATGACCTGCAGTGTGGAGGGAGGTGGCGGGAAGGCCGGCGAGGAGAGAGTTCCCATAGTCCAGCCTTGAGGTGATAAAGGCGTGGACCAGAGTTTCAGCCGCGTGAGGGGTGAGGTAGTGCCGTAGTCTGGCGATGTTTCGGAGGTGATGGAAGGCGGTGCCAGTTGTGGTGCGGATGTGAGGGAGAAAGGACAGCTCAGGGTCGAACAGAACGCCGAGGTTCCTGATGGCTTTGAGAGGTGGAGAGTGCAGCCTTGGATGCTGATGCTGTCAGCGCCTGAGGTGCGGAGGCGCTGACGTGAGCCAATCAGGAGGGCCTCAGTTTTGCGCACGTTGAGCTGAAGAAAGTTGTCTCTCGTCCAGGACTCGATGTCGGACAGGCAGCTGTCAGGACATCGGTGGTCGTGGAGTTGAGGGTAGAGGAGGAAAGGTAGAGTTGGGTGTCATCCGCATACATGTGGAAGTTAACCCCATGTCTGCGGATGATGTCACCACAGGGGGAGCATATAGAGGGTGAAGAGGAGGGGACCGAGGACAGAGCCCTGAGGGACACCGCACGAGACAGTGCGGGGGTGGAGGAAAAGCCGTTCGTGGAAACAAAGTGAAGACGGTGGGAGAGGTACGACCTAAACCACTCAAGGACAGGGCCTTGAAGGTTGAGGTGGGAGGACAAGCGGTGGAGGAGGATAGCGTGGTCGACCGTATCGAATGCTGCCGATAGGTCGAGGAGGACGAGGAGGCAGAGGGAGCCCTGGTCACAGATGGTCAGGATGTCATTGGTGACCTTGACCAGGGCAGTTTCTGTGCTATGGGCAGCACGGAAACCCGACTGAAGGGGTTCGAATAGTGAATGGGTGGAGAGGAAAGAGCGCAGCTGGGAGGCGACAACTTGTTCCAGGACCTTGGACAGAAAGGGGAGGTTGGAGATGGGCCGGTAGCTTGGTAGCTGCGACACATCAAGGGAGGGTTTTTTCAAGGTGGGAGTGATGATGGCAGTTTTTAAGGGAATGGGAACAGAGCCAGAGGAGAGGGACAGGTTGACGATGTCTGTGATATGTGGAGCAAGGAGGTGGAGCTGAGAGATAAGGAGTGGAGTGGGGATGGGGTCAAGGGAGCAGGTGGTGGGTTTCAGGGATAGGATGAGTTTGGTGACAGAGGGTGGGGAAACGGGTACGAGGGTGTGTAGGGGAGGATGGGTCAGAGTTGGAGTGTGGGAGGGAGGGAGTGGGGGGTGAGTGGATGTTGGAGGGGAAGTGACCACGGAGCGAATTCCCTTGATTTTGGATTCAAGGAAATCCAGCATCTCCTCGCAGTGAAGGTTGGAGGAGATGACCTGCGCGGGGTGGCGGGGGGACGGAGGAGTCGGGATGTGGTAGAAAACAGTAGCCTGGGGTTGTTCTTCGACTCCAGGATTATCCTGGAGTAGAAGGACGACTTGGCCGAGGCTAGAGTGGAGCGGTAGATTTTGAGGAGGTCCAGCCAGATTTGTCTGTGGACTAAATAAATGGAACAGAATGCTGTAAACTTATTAATTAGGCACCATCAGGCGACGCAAATATTGACTCACTTGATAGATTAACAAATATACATGTCTATTTCTAATTCAACAGGAAGCAAAGAATCAAGGGTTGGCAATCTATGAAAGTCAAACACAAAATGAAGTATTTTTCAATGTTCTGTGGAAACATTAAATTACAGAGCAAGACAGATGGGATGAATGGCATTTTTCTCATTCATACAGAAAAACTTGTGTAATTCCCAGGGCTAGAGAGAGCATACTTAACTGGGGTTCTCGCTCCCAAAAGCTAAAATTATTCATGCGAGAAAGTGTTTGAGTTTGAATTTGGGCGAGAACAGTATCATGGTTAAATGTGATACAGTTTTATGGTTGAATAAGATAACAATTCAAGCTTTCTGATTCAAGCCACAAGTCATGAGTTGAGCTCCTAAGTTTTGAAAAGGTATTCAATAAAGGCTGAAAATACAGTACTTCTAGTGTACTTATACAGTATAACCTGTGAAGCACTTTAAGGCATTCAATTCCCGGCAGGATGAAATGTTGGGCAAGTTTCCTTACTCCACAGGCCTCTGCTTACCTAGCAGTAAGTAGGAACCTGGTTGTTAGTCGATTTGCGAGTCACTTTTCCGGAGGTAATAATTCCTTCAAAAAAATAACAATAATTGTTAATTGTCCCTTCAATCCACGACTGTCTGTGGGACACTGTTGTGCGCAATTGGCTGCCATGTTTCGCCCACAAATATACAGTCAATTCACTTTACAGTATATTCTGTGAAGCGCTTTGAGACGTTTCGAAGACTTGATAAAGTGCTATATCAAATTCAAGGGTTATTATTCTCCTGATGTGTTATAGTACTGGGGGAGCGCCGTGTTATCTCGGCAGTGGTGGCCACACCCCAGAGAATCACACTAGTTTAGGTAAGTCCATATTCAATCAATAGGGGTATTTTCAGTTTTTTTTGACTTGTGGCATAAATCAAACACGAAAATGCTAAGGAGGTGTGGAAAGAAGAGGATTTGCCGACCCATATGACAAGAAAGGTAGCAGCCTTCAATCACAATATCAACAGGTATGAGAAGCGAAACAAGAGAGTGAGAGCAGATTAGGTCGGTGGCTCATGTGGAGAAATAATGGCCCATTACTATGGTTCAATATTCAACAACTCTACCAGAGGAAAGGCTCTGATCACAATAACATAGACTTTGTTCAATTATGCAAAATTGCAGAACAGGCTGAAGACTGGGAGAGGCCGCCAGGAACAGCAGGTGCACCCCGTCCTGGATCAGCAGATCCCATCGCACCAGGCACAGGCCCCGGGGATGGGGGGCGCCTCCCGCTGATAGAGCCAGGGCCAGGGCCAGGGCCAGGGCCCGGGGCAGCAAATAAAAGTAACGGACCCCAAACCCAACCTCACACTGATACTGACTCACCGTCTGCTGACCGCCCGCCACCGGGAGTGAGGAGGGACAGCCTCACCGGCCCCGTGTCACTGTCCTCATCTCACTGTGTGTGTGTGTGTGTGTATCACTGTGTGTGTGTGTGTCTCACTGTGTGTGTGTGTGTGTCTCACTGTGTGTGTCACTGTGTGTGTGTCTCACTGTGTGTGTGTGTCTCACTGTGTGTGTCACTGTGTGTGTGTCACTGTGTGTCACTGTGTGTCACTGTGTGTGTGTGTGTGTCTCACTGTGTGTGTGTGTGTGTCTCACTGTGTGTGTGTCACTGTGTGTGTGTGTGTGTCACTGTGTGTGTGTCTCACTGTGTGTGTGTGTGTGTGTCTCACTGTGTGTGTCACTGTGTGTGTGTCACTGTGTGTGTGTCTCACTGTGTGTGTGTGTGTCACTGGTGTGTGTCTCACTGTGTGTGTGTGTCTCACTGTGTGTGTGTCACTGTGTGTGTCTCACTGTGTGTGTGTGTCACTGTGTGTGTCTCACTGTGTGTGTGTGTGTGTGTCACTGTGTGTCAGTGTGTGTGTGTGTCACTGTGTGTGTCACTGTGTGTGTGTGTGTCACTGTGTGTCTCACTGTGTGTGTGTGTCTCACTGTGTGTGTGTGTGTGTGTCAGGGTGTGGGGAGGGGGCGGGGCGAGTTTGACAGCGTCAATCATTGACAGCTTCCCCGCGTCATCAACATATCCGGGCACTTACTGATAACGTCATCATCCGCCCCCACAGCCCCATCTATACACACACACACCCCATCCCCCCCACACACCCCTATACACACACACCCCATCCCCCCACACACCCCATCCCCCACACACACCCCATCCCCCACACACACCCCATCCCCCACACCCACCCCATCACACACACACCCCATCCCACACACACACCCATCCCCCCACACACACCCCATCCCCCCACACACACCCCATCCCCACACACCTCATACACACACACCCACCCATCCCCCACACACCCATCCCCCCACACACACACCTATACACACACCCCATCCCCCCACACACACCCCATCCCCCACACACCTCTATACACACACACCCCATCCCCACACACACCCCTATACACACACACCCCATCCCCCACACACACCCCTATACAACCACAC